TCATATATATTTTAAAATTTTTATGTAATCCAACCTGTCTTTTTTTTTGTCTTTTGGGTTTCATGCCATGCTTCCTTACCCTTCTGTCACCCTGCTCCCCTTCAATAAATAAAGGTAGAGCTCTCTCACCCAAGAGAATTGTCAGGACCCTGAATCTCAGATGTATCTTCTAAACTAAGTAGCAAGGTTATTGCACTCTCCTTGGTGATACTGGGGCAGGGGTTCTTAATTTAGGGGGCTGTGAAGAGATTTTGGGAGTCTGGGAACTTACATCTTTATTTTACTAGCTGTTAATCAAAATGTATCATTCTTCCAATTATGAATGTAGGCCACAAACCGCAGTAGTATCAGTGAAACCTGTGACTGTCATTAAATATTAGTTTTTTCCTATCATGTTAAAGTTATTACAGATATCTTGAAATGTTGTTTACACTCTTACTACTTTTAGATCAGATGCTAGGTCTTGCTATTAAATGCATTAATAAACAAATGCTATTATTTTGCACATTTTCTTGTGTTCTCATAGCTATATTTTCAATATTTTGATGTCCTCTGTAATTCTATGTTTTGCTTTGTGCATTTAAAACCATTCTTAGACCGGCACGGTGGCTCACGCCTGTAATCCCAGCACTTTGGGAGGCCAAGGCGGGAGGATCACAAGGTCAAGAGATCGAGACCATCCTAACCAACATGGTGAAACCCCGTCTCTACTAAAAATACAAAAATTAGCTTGGCGTGGTTGTGCGTGCCTGTAGTCCCAGCTACTCGGGAGGCTGAGGCAGGAGAATCACTTGAACCTGGGAGGCGGAGTGAGCCGAGATCGCACCACTGCATTCCAGCCTGGCGACAGAGCAAGACACCGTCCCAAAAAATAAATAAATAAATAAATAAATAAATAAATAAATAAATAAATAGTAAAAATAAAAACCATTCTGAGGAAAGGGTATGGGCTTCATCAAACTGCCAAAGGGGAATCCCTCCTCCAAAAGGGAAGAGCCCAGGCAGGAGGCGGCTGGGGCAGCTCCTTCCAGATCCCACCCCCCATCACTGCCAGCCAATGAGTGGCCATATCACGGCCACGCCTTAGGCCAAGTTTATCCAGCTCTGCATTTTCATTTTTGCAGAAGGGACGTTTTCTTGAGAAAGGAGGTCTTTTCGGTAGGTGCTCAGACTTCCTTCAAAGTGATCTTTTTGGGGATTGTACGATCTGCCTAAGAAAGAGTTTCTTCTCAGATCCTGCCACTTCTAGACATGTCAGAGTGCAGGCCTTTCTTTTGTTACTAGATTCTTAGATTTTTCAGGAGAAACCAGCAAACCAGATTTTATGTAACCGCCCCCCCCGACTGTATGCCTGCCTACCTATACATCAACCCAGAAAGCTCAACAATACACTTTTGACCTTAAATCACCTCAGGGCTCCTTAGTGGCCGGCATCCCAGCGCGGGGAGCCCTGTCCATACACCTCAGATACATTTCCCTTCAGGAGAATGGGATCCAGAGCAGGCTTCTGAGGTGTGATGCCAGCATTTGGCAGCAGAGGGCACTCCTATTACAGGTTGCCTAGGCTGTGTCCTATTTCCTGAGGTGTAGGAGGGAGACCGTCTGTGAAAGGGGCTGAGCCGGGTCAGAGGGCAGGTGCCTAATACTGGGCTGAGGAGGGAGTAAGGGGCCATTGGGGTATTGAAAATCCATCCTCCTGTCCTCCCACCCAGCAGTTGTGGGCCAGCTGCTCAGGGTGACAGGACTAGCCAGCTAGGGCCGGTCTCCCTTAGTCTGTGCACCTGTCCCCATGGCTGATGCCAGATCTTGTGTGTGCTGCAGTAGAGGTGGGCAGCAGAAATGACAGCTTTCCAGTGCCAAGTGATCTAGTCCTCTAGAGGCTGTTGGTATCCTTGGGACTAAGAAAAGAACTTGGCACATAATAGGCACTCAGTAACTCTTCCCTTCATAATAGGCACTCGCAAATTTTCCCTCTTCCCTTTGTTGAGGGTTGAACTAAGGCCTAGTAAGGGAAGAGTGTGAGGGTTGCATGCATGAGGTCTTGGTCAGCTCAAGCTGGAGGATCTGGTTTTTGGCTAAGGTAGATCTGGGTGAATGTCAAGTCTACTTTCTTACACCAGCCCTGCAAAGGAGGGCACCGTATTTACACATGGGGAAATTGAGGCTGGTGGAAATAACACACACAAAGGTATCCTCAGAACTACTTTCTGCAAATGTCAGGGATACAGTGGGAAGAGAGCTGAGAAGTAAATGTCTTAGGCGATTTCACAGTGTCAAGTCAAGAGGGCACACCACTGACTTGTAGGTTCAGGGCAGAGCCTACATATAATTTAGCTAATTTGGTTCTAACAACTCTTCTAGGTAGAGTTTACTTTTCCCACTTTACAGATGAGAAAAACGAAGATCAGAGAGGCTACGTGACGTTCCCAGGGTTATGTAGTTTGGGAATGTGGAATGTAGATGCATCTTTGACTCCCAAAGCCTGGACTCTTCTTTTTGCTCTTCTGGGTGGCAGAAAACCCGGGGTGAAAAAAGTGCCCTGACTAGGAGAAGACAGCAGGAACAAGATTCCCCATCCGAGTAGGTGGTGCACAGATATCCCAACTTGGTCCTGGTCCCTGCTCCATCTACTATTTTTTTTAATGTTTAAAAAATTGTGGTAAACTATACATAATGTAAAATTTGCCATTGTAACCATTTTCAAGTGTACAATTCAGTGGCATTAAGTAAATTCACATTATTGTGCAACCATCACTACCATTTATCTCTGGAACTTTCTCATCATTCCCAAACTGAGATTCTGTACTCATGAATCAATAACTACTCATTCCCCCTCCTCCGGCCACTGGTAACCACTATTCTACTTTCTGTCTCTGTGAATGGACTATTCTAGGTACAAGTGGAATCATACAATATTTCTAGGTATAAGTGGAATAACACAATATTTGTCTTTTTGTGTCTAGTTTATTTCATTTACTTAATGTTTTTGCCTTGATCTGAATGTTTGTGTCCCTGCAAAATGGGGTTGAAATCTTGACCTCCAAGGTGATGGTATTGGGAGGTGGGGCTTTTGGGAGGTATGGTTAGGTCATGAAGGTAGAGTCCTCATAATTGGGATTAGTGCGCTTATGAAAGAAACCCCAGGGAGCAAGGTAGCCCCTTCTACTAAGTGAGGGTGCAGTGAGAAGATGACAGCCAGGAAACAGGCCTTCACCAGGCACCGAATCTGCCAGTGTCTCTATTTTGGACTTCCCAGCCTCCAGAACTGTGAGAAAAACACTTCTACTATTTACATGCTACCCACTCAATGGTATTTTGTTATAGCAGCCTGAATAGACTAAGACAGTTTTCAAGGTTCATTCATATGTCAGAATTTCCTTCCCTTTTAAAGTTAATATTATATTGTATGGATATACCACATTTTGTTTACCCATTAATCTGTTGATAGACATTTGGATTGTTCCCACTTTTTGGCTATTGTGAATAATGCTATTATGAACATGAGTATATGAATATCTGTTTGAATCCCTGCTTTCAGTTCTTTGGGGTATATACCCAGAAATGGAATTGCTGGATCTTTTGGCAATTCGTGTTTTAATTTTTTGAGGAACTACCATTCTGTATCCACAGTAATGGTACCATTTCACATTCCCACCAGCAATGCACAGGAGTTGCAGTTTCCCTGCATGTCCTTGACAATGCTTGCTCCCATACACATTTGCTTTGGCTGCCTCAAAATGTAGAGCTTGGCAGATTGAGACTGTGGTGGGAAGAAAGCCTTTGCAATGGAAAAAAGAGAAAGAGGGAGGGAGGGCGAAGAGTTGGGGGATGGGAGAGAGAGAGAGTGTGAAAAGGAGCTTTTTTCCCCCACTCTTCCCGGACCCTCATGGGGGCTGCACAGACTCCTAGAACCTTCAAGCAGCAAGACAGAGGTCCCCTCCACCAGCCACAGAGCTCTCCTTACACCTGGCCTCCTATTCCAGCAACTTTAAGGAAGTATTTTTTTAATTGGCCATGGTTTTATCAAAAGCCTATTAAGTTTTTGCCACAAAAGGATTTTCTTTAAAATAAAAATAAGGGTAAGTATTTGACTGATGTCCCTTGGGAGTGCTTTAGAGAAGAGGAATGAATACTGACATGTCCTATCTTCCCAGATGCAGAGTTGTAAAACAAACAAACATAATTGCTTTTCACATGTAAAAGAAAACTGACTTAAACATACTAGCGTTTTCTTTGCCACGAAAGAGTTTACTTTCAGTGACTAAGCCAGAACTACTAGAGTTGCCGGGCCTACGGACAGGACACATGGCAAGTGCTTAGCCAGGCTGGCCAGGACTGACCATCTCTGCAAGGAGTCCATAAGAAGGCTCAGGGCAGCCCTTTCCTGCTCCTATCAATTTGAGTTGAGCAACAAACCTTTTGACCAAGGATCAGCTCCATGGCACAACCCACAGTTACGGTGCCCACAAAACAGAATCTCAGAACAGCAACTACTGGCTATGGGAAGCGATCAGAGACTAACATCAGGAGAAAAAATACGTTTTTCAGTCCTGGGTTTCCAAGTTGGCATCCCCAGGGCAAACCAGCAGGTTGGGAGGGTAGGGGCTGGTGGGTGGGGGCTGCGGAGGGAAGGTGGCTGCTGTCTATCTGATCAGACCTGGGGCATACCCAAAGAACTCTCCTAGCTTGGAATCAGGTCAGGAAGAAACCAGGACGGTCCCTTTAGGAGAGTGGGCAGGACTATCTGCCCGGGGGGCTGCGAACTCCCCTGCACAGCAGGCCATCGATTTTACCGGAGGCAGGGTGTGGGGAAACCGGGGCAAGGCCAGCCTCTCAGCAAGGCCAGGAAGCCATTCACTTGGATCCTGGATTTTACTAACGGATTAAACGTGGCATTCTCTCCTTCCCCCATCCGTTACAGACCTAAAAATAGCTCGTCCCAGAGGGGCCGGGAGAGGCTCCACCTCTTCTTGAGGTGGGGCGGGGCGGGGCGGGGCGGCTGTAGTAAGAGCGGGAGGCAACAGAGACCCCAAGTCAAGAGCTGACGGGCGCACCGAGCTCTCTGTCCGCGGCCCCGCAGGTTGGCGGCACCGGAGTGGGCCGGGCAGGCTCTGCCTCCGCCACAGAGAGCGCCCTGGCTGCGGGGAGCTGGGGAAGCATCCCGGGAACGGCGGGCGGTGAGCATTCCGGGAACCGTCTCTGGGCTGTCTGGGGCGGTGGAGCAAGTCCAGAGGCAGGACGTGGGGCAAGTAGGGGAGCAGCCACCTCGAGACGTCTTCCCGCCGCCCCCGGTTCTGGGCGACCCCACGGTGAGCGGGCCGCGCGGGAAAACTATGCCAGGAATTAGTCCCGGGAGCGGGGGGGGTGGGTAGCTTGGCTGCACTCCGAAGGATCAGGGATTCGGGAGGTTAAACATTAGCCGGGGCGAACTCCCTACCAGGGTGCCGCGGGGCGCAGAAGGAGCCGGCTGCGTGCGTCCCCACTGCCCAGGGCGCGCCCTTCCGGCTCGGCGCCGCCCTGCATGCCGGCCGCCTCCGCCTGCGCCGAACCGCGGCGCCCCGGGAGGGAAGGACCCGGGCGCCGGGCACTGAAGGCGGGAGCGGGAATGACGGGATGCCCCAGGACTCGGCTACACTGGGAAGACGGCCTTGGGTTTTTACTTTTTGTAAAAAGAAAAGTGATTTGGGAGGGCTTGATGATCTGAGTGCCTTAGGTAAAGGAGGATCTTTTAGTAAATAGGTGATTTAAAAACAATAGCATTGGCATCTTACGTTCCCCTTCTTCCTTTCCTGGGCTGGACCTCAGCAGGAGGCAGATGTGGTATTTTCATCTTGAGGTGGCTGCGAATAAAGTCCACCGAAGACCAGCTCAGTGCAGGACAGGGGTCCAGGAGACGGCAGAGGAGGAGGTCCGAGGGGGCCTGGGCAGGGCCTAGTTCAGGGAGCCCTTCCTAGGGGCCCAGGGCCTAGGCTGCCCCTGCCTGGCCTCCTGGAATTCGATTTCTAACAGGACTTTGGAGAGAATCCTGGGAAGTATGGGGTCTTCTGACTTGGCTTCTCACACCCTCATCTGCAGATAGGGTGGGTGACCTCTCTCTTCTCAGTTGCAGCCCCTAACACCTCTCCACACCCCTCCCGGATGTGAGGACTGGCCAGTGAGAACAACCCTGCTTAGGGAAGGCTGATCCTCCAGTCAAGTGGCTGATAAGGGGCCTTTTGTCTGTCTCGGTCAGCACCAAGGGTCTGGAGACACCTACCTCATCTGGAAATATTTTCTGATACTATCTAAATGCCTCATGAAGTTGTATGCTTCAGGTTGGAAACAGAAACCTGAATTCATGTGGGCACCATAACTGTGGGTTGTGCCATGGAGCTGATATTTGGTCAAAAGGTTTGTTGCTCAACTCAAATTGACAGGAGCAGGGAAGGGCTGCCCTGAGCCTTCTTATGGACTCCTTGCAGAGATGGTCAGTCCTGGCCAGCCTGGCTAAGCACTCACAATGTGTCCTATCCCTAGGCCTGGCAACTCTAGTAGTTCTGGCTTAGTCACTGAAAGTGAACTCCTTCGTGGCAAAGAAAATGCTAGTATGTTCTAAGCTAGTTTTCTTTTACATGTGAAAAGCAATTATGTTTGTTTTACAGTTCTGCATCTGGGAAGATAGGACATGTCAGTATTCATTCCTCTTCTCTAAAGCACTCCCAAGAGACATCAGTCAAATACCTACCCCTATTTTTATTTTAAAGAAAATCCTTTTGTGGCAAAAACTTAATGGGGTTTTGATAAAACTATGGCCACTTAAAAATATCTCCTTAAAGTTGCTGGGAATAGGAGGCCAGGTGTAAGGAGAGCTCTGTGGCTGGTGGAGGGGACCTCTGTCTTGCTGCTTGAAGGTTCTAGGAGTCTGTGCAGCCCCCATGAGGATCAGGGAAGAGTGGAAAAGGAGAACACAACAGAATCTGAGAATAAGTCTAAGCTCTGCAGTGGTAGTACTTCAGGAGAGCTCCCAGGTCCCTGTAATCTCCGTTGAGGTCTCTGGAGCTCCCTTGCATACTGTGTGTGCATAGCCTGTTCGCAAACTGTGCGAAGGTTTCCTTGGCAGCCACAACAATTAGCATTAATGACACGCCTGAGCTCCCCCAGTGGGCACCGCTGAAGTTAGCTTGGGAGCCAGGTCAGGTTTGTAAATGATTGCCTGGCAGCCACCTTGGAAACTTGGCTCCCTCAAGTTCTCTTCTTGACTGCATTCTTGAGGAAGCAGAAGAGACAATAAGATGGCGATGTTGTTGTTGTCTAGCTGTCAGTTTATGTTAAAAAAGAAAAGATGTTTGGCCAATTTTGAGGAAGTTATTTTTGACAGATTATCGGTGGACTGGTTTTAGAGGAACCATAAAGTCTCCAGGGATTGTTTCACAGTGGGATGGCTGTGAGGTGGTGAACAACCTGTCACTGGGAGTGTGCAAAGCAAGGGTGGTAGATGGGTTTTCTATGTTCTAGATGGGTGTGGAATTGTCCCAGGCAGAAACCAACTCTTAACAATGAAGCAAGTTTGAATGTAGCACAAATATTCTTTTGGGTCCTTTATTCGTAATATTGGTCTAGGACTGGGAAGTTTCCCAAAACCCTGTCATTATATCTAAAGGTGATTAAACAGCTTCAGTTTTCCTAATGACAGTGAATCATTTCCTCTCTCTCTCTCTTTTTTTTTTTTTTTGAGAAGAAGTCTCACTCTGTTGCCCAGGCTGGAGTGCAATGGCGCGATCTCAGCTCACTGCAACCTCTGCCTCCCAGGTTGAAGTGATTCTCCTGCCTCAGCCTCCCGAGTACCTGGGACTACAGGCGTGTACCACAACACCCAGCTAATTTTTGTATTTTTAGTAGAGACAGAGTTTCACCATGTTGGCCAGGCTGATTTTGAACTCCTGACCTCAGGCAATCTGTCCACCTTGGCCTCCCGAAGTGCTGGGATTACAGGCATGAGCCACTGCTCCCAGTTGACAGTGAGTCATTTCTACCTTGTGTTTCTATTCCCAGATGTGGGAAAAGCAGTCTACTCAAAATTCAGTCTGGATAAAGCATGATGTCCTTGCCCCTAGGGTGTATGGTTTCCAGGTAACGTGCAACACTCTCATTCGGCTTTTTGTCTGCCTATCCTAGTCAGGACGCAAGCTGTGGAGCTGAGTCGGGTTCAGACAAGCCCTGCTGAAATACAGGGAGAATTTAGAATCTCCAGCACTAACCCTGTCGTGATTTGCTGTGAACTCTGTCAGCGCTTGTACTTTGGTCAAGAAAACTCAGGTATTGTAATCTCCATAATGAGAAATAATTGGTATGTCATCGTCATCATTATTATCATTATTAAGAGTATGGCATAATTGAAAAGCTCTGGAGTCAGAACTTGGCTTGAATCTTGGCTTCATTATTAGTAGCTGAGTGAGCAGGGCCCTTAGCTTCTCTGAGCCTCAGTTTCTACATCTGTGAGACGAGACAAACCATAGCCATCTACAAGGCTATATGAGTTTAGAATTAGTACTTTTAAAGGCTGGCACAGTGCCTAGCATATAGATGTTTGATAAATGTTAACTATTATACTATCATCATATCATAATCATCTTCAAGTTCCACAGTACTGCTCCATCTTTATTTATTTATTTATTTATTTATTTATTTATTTTTATTTTTTTTGAGACAGTGTTTCGCTCTTGTTGCTCAGGCTGGAGTGCAATGACACAGTCTTGGCTCACGGCTCACTGCAACCTCCACCTCCCGGGTTTGAGCAATTCTCCTGCCTCAGCCTTCCAAGTAACTGGATTACAGGCGCCCACCACCACGCCCAGATAATTTTTGTATTTTTAGTAGAGACGGGGTTTCACCCTGTTGGCCAGGCTGGTCTTGAACTCCTGACCTCCGGTGATCCACCTGCCTCAGCCTCCCAAAATGCTGGGATTACAGGTGTGAGCCACCGCGCCTGGCCCTGCTCTGTCTTATAATGCCAGAGCTCTAGGACATCTAAGAATTGGACCCTTAGGGTTCTAGAAAAAGACATGAGTAATACTTTTGAGGTGCATTAAAACCTCATGAACTCAGACCCCTAATTCTGTGTAGCTGGAAGTGGGGCTGCCACCTTCTGTGTTTATGGAGTACGCTCAGAGTGTAAGTGTGAAGGTTTCAGGGCTGCTCAGGAAGCAAGCTCCAACACTGAGGCCACATCTTGACAGTCAGCGTGGGCACTGCGACTTCTCACTGATATGCCTGATTCCACCTGCCAGGGCTCCTGCACTCTCATCTCTTATTAGTAGCCCATGGGATTAAACTATGGATGCAGATGGTCAACAAATCAGCATTTACTAAGTCTGAATGGCATTTCCCTCCAATGAGTTTGAACGAGGGATTCCTAACTCAGCTTTTACTCTTTATCCTAACTCTTGGCAGTCCATAGTCCCATTTATTCAAGACCCTAAGAATATAGAATTTTAAGTCAGATATTCTGAGATTTCAACAATTTTGCTAAGTTCAGTAGCAATCTGGGTGCCAGGTAATGGGCTGGGGACGGGGATACAGCAGATATGAATAAGCCATGGTCTCAGCCCCTGTAAAGTTCATAGCCAGGGGAGTGGGGGAGGAAGGAGACAGAAGTGTCCTGGTATGGGCCCCTCTTCGGTGTTCCCAGAGAACCCTTTCCCAGCTCCTGTCTTGGCACTTGCCACTCTGTGGGTTAATTTCTGTGCATTTTTCTGTCTCTCTGGAGAAAAAACTTTGGAGCCAGACACTATCACTTACTAGTTGTGTGATTGTGGGAAAGTCATTTCCCCTGTTTGTTTCCTCTCTCTGTTTCCTCTCTTTGTTCACTCTCTGTTTCTTCATCTGCGTAATATGTTGTTGTGAGAATTAAGTGGGATAATACATGTAAAGCCTTAGCACTGAGTATGGAAAATAATAGAATTCCAGAAATGTGAACTATTTTTATTAACAACAGTAGGGATAGTTGCCCAGGTCGTCATTGATCCCGAGTGCCAGTCATGATGCCTGGCACTTAGTAGGGCCTCAGGAATCATTTATTGATGGGATGGAGATACGAATGTTGCAGAGACACCCTAACAGACCAAAGTGTATGCTCTGTACTCTGGAAGCCCAGGGGAGGGGCAGGGAACTTTGTGAGCCTAGCAGGGATTTATAGTGGTAATCATTTATTTATTTATTTATTTATTTTTGTATTGTGGGAAGTTTTTTTTAAATTATTGTACTTTAAGTTCTAGGGTACATGTCCACAACATGCAGGTTTGTTACATATGTATACATGTGCCATGTTGGCTTGCTGCACCCATTAACTCGTCATTTACATTAGGTATTTCTCCTAATGCTATCCCTCCCCTCTCCCCCCACACCACAACAGGTCCTGGTGTGTGATGTTCCCCACCCTGTGTCCAAGTGTTCTCATTGTTTTATTCCCACCTATGAGTGAGAACATATGGTGTTTGGTTTTCTGTCCTTGCGATAGTTTGCTCAGAATGATGGTTTCCAGCAAGGACTTCATGACTAAAACACCAAAAGCAATGGCAACAAAAGCCAAAATAGACAAATGGGATCTGTTTATTTTAGTTTTAATTTTACTTTAAGTTCTGGGATACATGTGCAGAATGTGCAGGTTTGTTACATAGGTATATATGTACCATGGTGTTATCAACCCGTCATCTAGGTTTTAAGCCCCGCATGCATTAGGTATTTGTCCTAAAGCTCTCCCTCCCCTTGTCCCCCACCCTGCAAAAGGCCCAGGTGTGTGATGTTTCCTCCTTGTGTCCGTGTCTTCTCATTGTTCAACTCCTACTTATGATTGAGAACATGTGGTATTTGGTTTTCTGTTCCTGTGTTAATTTGCTGAGAATGATGGTTTCTAGCTGCATCCATGTCTCTGCAAAGTACCTGAACTCATTCTTTTTCGTGGCTGTGTAGTATTCCATGGTGTATATGTCCCACATTTTCTTTATCCAATCTGCCATTAATGGGCATTTGGGTTGGTTCCAAGTCTTGGCTATTGTGAATAGTGCTGCAATAAATATGTGTGTGCATGTGTCTTTATAGTAGAATGATTTATAATCCTTTGGGTATATATCCAGTAATGGTATTGCTGGGTCAATTTGTATTTCTGGTTCTAGATCCTTGAGGAATCACCACACTGTCTTCCATAATGGCTGAACTAATTTACACTCCCATTTGGAGGTAATCATTTGTAAGCAGGGCCTTGAAACATGCATCAACCTTTAGTTGGAACAGAAGGAGGTGGCAAAGGACCATCTATACCAAGAGGCAGCATAGAATAGGGGTTAGGAGCCCAGACTGGAGTCAAGCTGCCTGGGTGTGAATCTTACCTCTGGATCTTGGGCAAGCTTCTTTATTTCTCTGTGGCTTAGATGATAATGGTACCTCCTCAAGGGCTTGTCCTGAGAAATATATGAGTGCTTCTTTGTAAAGCTTTTAAAAACAGTGCCTATACATAAAATAAACAGCCCAGAGGTGTGAAAGTGTGGAAGGCAAGTGATATGGTTACATGGGAGATGCAGCTAGAAAGGTAGGTTTGGAAACAGTTCATCAAAGTCTTTGACTATCACTCAGTGTATTTGGAATTAGCCAACAAGGAACACAAAATCCATTCCTCTGTGGCTGGAGCTCAATAGTGGTTTCCCATTTTAAGCAGGGCCTGCACTCTCAGGTTTGCCACAATCACTAATGTTTCCTAATCCAGCACTCCACAGATTTAGTGATTCTAAATCAGTAAGTCTGGGGATCTACATTTCTAACAAATTCCCAGGTGATGCTGATGCTGCTGGTCCAGAGACCACACTTTGAGAACCACTGCCTTATTGTCTCTTGGACACTAAGATGGCGAATGAGTTGCCGTTTATCATCACGCATGTACTGTGGTTTCTTTCACATCTGCTACATTTTGTGCATTTAATGTTACTTTTCTGGCCCTGGTGGAACTTGGGTTTGCAATTCCTGGCATAGTCAGTATGGAATGGTTGGGTATAAGATCACAAGAGACCGAGGGGCTACAGAGAAAGAGATTTGGGGGTGACTGAGGCTCAGCCTAGAGCAAGTCTATAGTAGCCGAAGCTGTGAGCTCATTCCTAGGGATAGCGTGCAGGGAGAAATGGGTTGCAGGTGGAGAGCAGAATATCAAGGGGGCACTGGCACACCCTGTCATAAAAGAAAGGGGAAAGAATACTTACTGTTTAAGGAACAGCATTCAAACAGGTAGGAGGAGAGATGAGAGAGAGAGAGTGGCTGATGGAGAGTTCTTGACTTTATTATTAGAGAGAGGACTGTTGGCAAACATCTGAGGCCAAAGCTTAAATAGTTAAACAGTACAGTTCTCAGGTGAGCTCACCTGAAAGCTGGGACATCAGGAAGCAGGTGTCTTGTTACCCTTGCCCACAGCATGCCTGGTAACCTGCTGTTGCTCTGAGGCACAGCTTGTTGTGAGCAGTCGTCTCTGAGGCTCTGGTGGCACAGTTGCAGCTTTGGAGCTAAGCATGGTGAGTATCATGTCACTTGACTCCTTTTTTTTTTCCCCTCATAACATGGCAGAAATGTGCTAGTCTTTTCATGGCCATGGTGGGGGGCTTAGGTCTGGCTGGTTTTCTTTTTGGAGTACTTGTTGGGAAAGAGATTCTGAGAAAGGGAAGGATGGAGCTGAAACTGAAAAGGTGGGCCAGTGGCATCCTGTAGGCAGTCTCAAGACCAGGCTAAGCAGTTTGCATTTGGTACAGTGGGAATAGGGAGCCGTGCTGAGCTCCAGGGTGGGGAGCAGCTGTGTGGTTAGTATAGCTCCATAGCCCAGGACCTGAGCTTGGGCAGGACCCACATAGGCATACTATAAATGAGGAGTGAGGAAATGGATGAATTTGAGGTTTAAGGGATAAAGGATGATAATCTGATCAAAGCAAAATTTTAGGAGGAATAGCCCCAAGAATCAATGTTGAGTGGTTCAAAGTCCATAAGCTTTGGTGCCAGATGAACCTACAATTACACTTCAAATCTGGCCTCCTGTTTTCATCCATTTTGTACTGCTCCAACAGAGTAACACAGACCGGGTAATTTATAAAGAAAAGAAATAAATTTCTCACAGTTCTGGAAGCTTGACGTCCAATGTCAAGTCCAATATCAAGTCCAATATCGAGCTTGAAGTCCAATATTGGGCAAGGGCCTTCATGCTGCATCATCTCTTGGTGGAGAGTGGAAGGTCGAGAAAGCACAAGAGCAAGAAGGAAGGGGACCGAATTCCTCCTTTTATCAGGAACCTACTCCTGTGATAACTAACCCACTCCTACAATAATGACATTCATCCATTCATGAGGGCAGAGTCTTCGTGACTTAATCACCTCTTAAAGGTACCATCTCTCAACACTGCTGCATTGGGGATTGAGTTTTCAACATATGACCTTTGAGGGATGCCAAATTTGTAAAATGAGAATAATAATACCTGTTTGTAGGTTTGTATTAGGAGTTTGTATCCAGCACAGAGGGTGGCACTCTCTGCAGAGTTGCCAGTGTTATCACTGAGCACCTTCCCCTTGCATCTTCTCCAAGTCTCATAGCACCCTGTGAGGTAGGCAGGGCTGGCCTGTCACTGCCTTTCACAGAAGAAGACAGAAGAAGACAGTGGCCCCCAGCCTAGTCCTACCATTTTTTAAAGGCCTTCTTACTTCTGAAGCTGATTACTTCTTTGACTTTCTGTTGCACTTTTTAAAGTGCACTTTCTATTGCACTTTTTAAAGTCTGAATCATGGACCAGGTGCAGTGGCTCATGCCTGTAATCCCAGCTCTTTGGGAGGCCGAGGCGGGTGGATCACGAGGTCAGGAGTTTGAGACCAGCTTGACCAACATAGTGAAACCTTGTCTTTACTAAAAATACAAAAAATTAGCCGGGTGTGGTGGAGTGCGCCTGTAATCCCAGCTACTCTGGAGGCTGAGGCAGGAGAATTGCGTGAACCCGGGAGGTGGAGGTTGCAGTGAGTCGAGATTGCGCCATTGCATTTCAGCCCGGGTGACAGTTCAAAACAGTCTCTCAAAAAAAAAAAAAAAAATAAGAAAGAAGACTGAATGATGTAATCTCGAAAGGACTTGATTAAATAGGGTAAAATGTTCCTCTTGTTGCCTTAGTCAGATTCTCACTTATGCAAGGGCTGAAGTTCTATGTTTTCTTTTAAAAAATAATAAAAGTGATAGAAGATGATAAGAACTTTGGATAGTACAGAGAGGCAAAAAGTGAAAAATAAAAGTCCTCTAATCTCCATTCTCACTTCCCAGAGGCAGCCATTGCTAATAGCTTCTTGTCTATCTTTCCAGAAACAGTCTATGCTTATGAAATAATATACATAAATGAATCATATATATGAATTATAAATGAGCATATTTTATTTGTTATAAAACTAATTATAACGAATATGAGTCTTTTCATATGTATGTGTGTGTGTGGGTATATATGTGTGTACATATGTGTGTGTATATATGTGTGTGTGTGTATATATGTGTGTGTATATGTGTGTATATATGTGTGTATATATATGTGTATATATATGTGTGTGTATATATATGTGTGTGTGTATACAAATATATATGTGTGTGTGTATATATATATAGACTCTCCATGTCTGTGGATTCTGCATCTGCAGATACAACAAACTGCAGATCAAAAATATTTGAAAAAAAAAAAGGATAGTTTCTTCTGTACTGAACATGTACAGACTTTTTTTCTCGTCATTATTCCTAAATAATTAAGTATAACAGCTATTTTTATAGCATTTACATTGTATTAGGTATTATAAATAATCTAGAGATGATTTAAAGTTTATGGGAGAATGTGCATAGGTTATATGCAAATACTGTACCATTTTATGTAAGCAATTTGAGCATCTGTAGATTTTGGTATCTGAGGAGGGTCCTGGAATGAATCCCTCATGGACACTGAGAGGCGACTGAATATGTATGTATATATATAATGATCATCATTGGTCTGTGAAGGCCTATTTACCTGTCTATCTGACCATCACCACCCACACACCATCCATCTATTCATTTATTTATCCCCATTCCACACTCCCGTTTCCTTCCCTCCTCTCATAGACAACCATTCTAATATGATATATATCTTTCACTTTGGTGAGTTATTAAATATGATTATATTAATGTCATTAAAACACAAATAGAGGTATATATGTCTATTTTGTGTGTGTTTACATATATATATATCAGAGATTATAATTTCGTATCAGTACATATAAGTCTGCTTTATACCAATCGATAGCTGCATAATATTCCATTGCCTAGAGATACATTGTACTTTGCTTTCTTCTACTTTTTCTTGTACTTTGCTTGTATAAAAGATACTACAATGACAATTTTTTCACAAGTACCTTTGTACATATGAGTTTGTCTGTAGCGTAATTATAATTTTTAGTAGTGGAATATTCAAAATTCCCATTGATATTGTCAAATTCCTCTTCAGAGAGAACAGTTCATATGCTCACCAAGAGTTTTGAGAGTAGAATCTGAGTCTTGGCAAACAAACTGGAGATCTTTTTACTTAACTGTTAAGTTAAAAAAGCCCATGATGGATTGAGCATCACGTGGCAGACTCCATGACTCCCTTAAGCCCCTCCTAACAGGGGTGGACATCATTTCACTCACATTCCAGGCGAGAGAACTTAGTCATATGATCACACGTGATTGCTGGAGAAGCTGGGAAAGGTAGTTCACTCGTGTTCCACTAGAATCCTGTAGTTCCAGGAGAAGGAGAAGACAGGGTAGATATTAGGTACCTTGGTCACTCACAGCAAGTTGTTGGACTTTATCCTGATATAAAAATAGGGTTGCAGAAGGACCCATTTCTAAATTTGATAGCCACCTGCTGACAAAGACCTTTGCCATGCACTCCTGCAGTGGAGGTGGGCTTTGCAGAGGGGGCTCACTGAGGACCTGCTGTGTACCAGGCACTAGGCTGGATGCTTCACTTGCCTCATTCCTCACCACACGCCTACACAGTGGGCCCTATGTTCCTCCTTAGACCCAGGAGGCTTAAAGATGTGCAGGGACTTGCCCAAGGCGGAACATTCGAATTCACATCTGTGTGATTGCAAAGCCCACATTTTCTTTCCACAGCTCTGGCCATGTCAGCACACACCATGAATGCTACAGCTGCTGCAACGACACCTCACTTTGCCCCGCTTAGGCCCTTGCTGGCCAGATATACAGTATGTGCAGCCACACACACCTCACCTAACTTGGACTCTCTTCTCATTTTCCAGGCCTTCTCTCAGCTCCTTGGCCTACTGCCGTGGTCTTGGTGCCACCCTCCTCTGGTCGTCAGCTCAGGGCTTCCTCTGCCCATGCAGTCCCCAGCTGCCACTGCTGAGGGCCTCAGCGGCCCCCTCTTTGGGGCCTACACGTTCCCCACCTTCAAGTTTCAGCCTCGCCATGATAGCATGGACTGGAGGCGCATTAGCACCCTGGATGTAGACCGCGTGGCCCGGGAGCTGGATGTGGCCACTCTGCAGGAGAACATTGCTGGCATCACCTTCTGCAACTTGGACCGGGAGGTATGCAGCCGCTGTGGGCAGCCTGTGGACCCGGCACTGCTCAAGGTGCTGCGCCTGGCACAGCTCATCATCGAGTACCTGCTGCACTGCCAGGATTGCCTGAGTGCCAGCATTGCCCAGCTGGAGGCACGGCTGCAGACCAGCCTGGGCCAGCAGCAGCGTGGTCAGCAGGAGCTGGGCCGCCAGGCTGACGAGCTCAAGGGTGTGCGGGAGGAGAGCCGCCGGCGTCGCAAGATGATCAGCGCCCTGCAGCAGCTGCTAATGCAGACAGGCGCCCACAGCTACCACACGGTGAGGAATCTGCACCAGGCAGGCAGAGTGGGAGGGCTGTGCGCCCCAGCCACTGGGCAGCTGTTGCCACTGGGTAGCACTGCTGGGGCCACAGGGCTGCTGGGGACTGTTCTCACTGGTTAGGAGCAGATTTCAGAGATGCTGCTCGTGGCCAAAGAGCCTGGGGATGTCTCATTGGGTTCTACTGTGTGTGTGTGTAGACTGTACATGTGTTGGAGGTGTATGTGTTTATGGAGAGGGTGCATGTCTAGTGTATGTATATGCATGAATATATGGAGAGTGTGTGTGTGTGTGTAAATGGTGTGAATACGTGTGTGTGTTTAATGTGTGTATATGTGAATACTTGAAGGGCACCTCTGTGTGTATGTAGGGTGTGTGATGTGTAATGTGTGCTCGTACTATATTATAAAGGATACAACTCTGGAGCATGTATAAAAAGGTGTATTAATAGTGTTTGTGACCAAGAAGCAGCTTCTTTGCTCCTTCTGGAATCTCTGCCTGGTTCAGCCCACCTGTCTCCACTCCTGCTTCTACCATGTTCATCAGGGTGACCCAGAAGTCCTATAAGGTGCCACCTCTGGCCCCCGGGCCTTCAGCAGCTGCTCCTATATGAGTAGGCCCAGTGCCCGCATTGGCTCCTTGAGCTTCTCCTGAGTGGGCAGCAGCAGCTTCTGGGTTGGCCTGGGTGGAGGCTGTGGTGGGGGGCAGTGGCATGGTAGGCATCACTGCCATCACGGTCAACCAGAGCCTGCTGAGCCCCCTTAACCTGGAGGTGGACCCCAACATCCAGGCCATGTGCACCCAGGAGAAGGAGCAGATCAAGACCCTCAGCAACAGGTTTGCCTCCTTCGTCGACAAGGTGCGGTTCCTGGAGCAGCAGAACAAGATGCTGGAGACCAAGTGGAGCCTCCTGCAGCCGCAGAAGACGGCTCAGAGTCAACATGGTCAACATGTTCGAGAGCTACATCAACAACCTTAGGCAGCAGCTGGAGACTCTGGGCCAGGAGAAGCTGAAGCTGGAGGCAGAGCTTGGCAACATGCAGGGCCTGGTGGAGGGCTTCAAGAACAAGTATGAGGATGAGATCAGTAAGCGTACAGAGATGGAGAATGAATTTGTCCTCATCAAAAGGATGTGGATGAAGGTTATGTGGACAAGGTGGAGCTGGAGTCTTGCCTGGAAGGGCTGACTGACGAGATCAACTTCCTCAGGCGACTGTATGAAGAGATCCAGGACCTGCGGTCCCAGATCTTGGACATGCCTGTGGTGCTGTCCATGGACAACAGCTGCTCCCTGATATGGACAGCATCATCGCTGAGGTCAAGGCGCAGTACAAGGAGATCGCCAACTGCAGCTGGGCTGAGGCTGAGAGCATGTACCAGATCAAGTATGAGGAGTTGCAAATGCTGGCTGGGAAGCACAGGGATGACCTGCAGCGTACAAAGACTGAGATCTCCGAGATGAACCAGAATATCAGCCAGCTCCAGGCTGAGATTGAGGGGCTCAAAGGCCAGAGGACATCGCAGATGCCAAGCAGTGTGGGGAGCTGGCCATTAAGGATGCCAACACCAAGCTGTCTGAGCTGGAGGCCGCCCTGCTGCGGGCCAAGCAGGACATGGCGCGGCAACTGCATAAGTACCAGGAGCTGATGAATGTCAAGCTGGCCCTGGACATCGAGATCACCACCTACTGGAAGCTGCTGGAGGGTGAGGAGAGCCGGCTGGAGTCTGGGATGCAGAACACGAGTATCCATACAGGGACCACCAGCAGCTATGCAGGTGGTCTGAGCTCAGCCTATAGGGGCCTCATAAGCCCTGGCCTCAGCTACGGCCTGGGCTCCAGCTTTGGCTCTGATGCAGGCTCCAGCTCCTTCAGCCGCACCAACTCCACCAGGGCCACTGTGGTTGTGAAGAAGATAGAGACTCATGATGGGAAGCTGGTGTCCGAGTCCTCTGACGTCCTGCCCAAGTGAACAGCTGCGGCAGCCCCTCTCAGCCTTCCCCTCCTGTGGTTGCCCCAGAGCCCGGGGTGATGGTAGGAGGCTGCTGTGCAGGGTAGCACAGGGAACAGGAGACCCACCTGAAGCTCAGCCCTAGCCCTCAACCCACCTGTGGGGGAGTTTACTGCCTAGGGACCCCCCTTGCCCGTGCCCATGCCTCCAGCTACAAAACAATTCAATAGCTTTTCTTTCTTTTTTTTTTTTTGGTCCAAAATAAAACCTCAGCTATCTCTGCCAAACAAACAAACAAAAAACAAAAAAATAGTGTTTGTGTGTGTGTGAATGAATGAAGGAAGGGTATATATGTGAGTAAGAGTGTGTTATGTACTTATGGAGAGTGTGTAAAGATGTGTATGTAAAAGAAGGATGTATATGTGTCTAAGAGTGTATTTATAGAGGGTGTGAGTGCGTGCATATTTATGTATGATGGAGGATTTGTATGTGTATGTCGAGGAGTGTGTTGTGTAAAGGTATGTGTGTGTATATGTGTTGAATCTATATGTGACAAGGGATTGGTGGAGCCAGGCCTATTCTGGAATACTGACTCCATTATTCTACTAAGTGACAGTTCATTTCCCAAAGCAGCATGGAACATTTGAATGTGTCTCCACGGAAGTATGGATTGGGGACGTTTTTCCTTTAATAAAAATTGTCATGGTGGCTAGGCCCCGTGCCAGGCTCTGAGGATGTGGGCACAAGTCATGCTGGTTCAGATTTTTAAGGCATTGATAGTTTGTGGATGGGTGGGTTACGTATTTCTGCTCATAACACTTCTGACACCAAATGTGTGTTTTTTTTCCCCTTACACCAACCAATTCTCCAGTGCCAACTGGGTGCCCTTTATTTCAATTCTGACACTATCTACCTGGAGTTAGCATCGGATCCCATGAGTTAAGGGATCAGTCCCCTAAGACTGGTCCACTTCAGATACCCAGGCCTCCTGTGCATCTGACTAACTGGCCACAAATTGAGGGTTCCCATAACTCCATCCTGAGGTTCAATAATTTGCTAGAATGGTTCACAAAACTCAGGAAGAAGACACTTTATTACCAATTTATTATAAGGATAGAAGTCAGAATAGTCAAATGGAAGAGATGCACTTGAGGACAAGAGAGTACAAGGTATGGGAGAAGGGACTCAGAACTTCTCTGCCCTTTCTGGGTGTGCCAACTCCTAGCACCTCAGTATTTACCCATCTGGAAACTCTCTAAATCCCATCATTTAGGGGTTTTATGGAGATTCCACCAAGCATGCATAATTGATTAAATCATTGGCCATGGCTTAGTAGTCCAGCCCCTCTTCCCTCCCTGGGGGCTGGAGGGTGGGGCTGAAAGTTCCAATCCTCTCCCCATGCCTTGGTCTTTCTGGTGACCAATCCCCATCCTGGGAGGATTAGCTGAGCCCAGCATCCTTTGGCTGTTGAGCCAAAGGAAAAAAGGATGGGGGTTGGTCACCAGAAAGTCATTTGTGGGGTGGGACAGAAGGTGCTCAGCCACCAGTCCTTTCATTAGCATACAAAAAACACTGTCTTAGTAAGTTTAGTGTTGCTATAAAGGAATACCCGAAGCTGGTAATTTATAAAGAAAAGAGGTTATTTGACTCACACTTCTGCTGGCTGGAAGGTTCAAGACTGGGCACCTGGTGAGGGCCTCTGGCTGCTTTCACTCCTGGTGGAAGGTGAAGGGGGGCTGGCCTATGCAGAGCTCATGGCAAGAGCGGAAGTAAGAGGAGAGGGAGGTGCCAAGCTCTTTCTAACAACCAGCTCTGTCAAACTAATAAGAATGAGAACTCCCTCATCTTCAAGGGAGGGCGTTAATGTGTATATGAGGGATCTGCCCCATGACCCAAATACCTCCCACTAGGCCCCACCTCTCAACACTGCCACATTGGAGATTAAATTTCAACATGAGATTTGGAAGGGACAAACATTCAAACTATAGTAGATGCTCATATTACTCTGGAGATTCCAAGGATCTCAGAATCTCTTGTGTCATGAACTGGGGACTAAGACCAAATATTATTACAAAAGATGCTTTTATCACCCTTATCACTCTGAAGATTTTAAGTCAGGGGTGTCCAATCTTTTGGCTTACCTGGGCCACACTGGAAGAAGAAGAATTGTCTTGAGCCTCACATAAAATACACTAACATTAATGATAGCTGATGAGCTAAAAAAAAAAAATTCCTAAAAATCTCACAATGTTTTAAGAAAGTTTACAAATTTGTGTTGGACTGCATTCAAAGCTGTTCTGGGCCACATATGGCCTATGGGCTGCAGGTTAAACAAGCTTGTTTTAAGTGTTTTAGGAGCTCCCTGCCAGAAACTAGAAACAAAGACCAAATTTACATTTTTTTTTTTTTTTTTTTTTGAGACAGGGTCTCACTCTGTCACCCAGGCTGCCGTCTGATCATGGCTCACTGCAGCCTTAACCTCCCAGGCTCAGGTGATCCCCCCACCTCAGCCTCCTGAGTAGTTAGGACTATAAGCATCTACCACCATGGTTGGCTAATTTTTTGTAGAGACAGGGTTTCTCCGGGTTGCCCAGGCTGGTCTCAAACTCCTGGGCTCAAGTGATCCACCCACCTCAGCCTCCCAAAGTTCTAGGATTTTAAGTGTGAGCCACTGTGCCCAGCCTACATTCTTATTGTATCACAATATCACAGTGGGACAGAAGGAATCGTTATGATATATTATTAATTGATAACAAATTGATGTGATTGATATGATGTTTATGATTAAAAGGGTCAGAACCCTTTTAGTAGTAAGGCCTATGGACACACCTGGTTGCTAGGAAGGTTGGGACATAGAGTGTTTATTCTCATTGGCCACAGGACTTACTATTACCAAGGAAGAAAAGGAAAATGGGTATTGGGGGACAACTGGCAATTCCTGTCATAATTGTCGGCAAAGATAGCAAATAATCTGCCTATGGATTAACTAGCAATGGCAGCCTCCAAAGCTGTGTTGAGAATTCTGAAATTTTACAGTGAGAAGACGATGTAGATAGATTGCTTATGTCTGAAATGTCTTAGGAGAGGGATGCGGAATTACAGATGCTGTTTATTTGCTAACCCCTGCCTCTGGTGGTTCTCCACCCTGGGGTGGGTCATAGACATTGGCATATTTAAAAAAATTTTTATTATGGAAAATTTCAAACATATGCAGTAGTAGAGAGAATCATTTAATGAACCTTTATCTACGCACTAACAGTATCAACCCGTGGCCAGTGTTGTTGTGTCTCTTCCCCTGCACACTTTCCCCCACTTCTGGATTATTTTGAAGCATATTAGCAATATGATTTTATTTGTAATATTTCAATATCTCTATTTGTGTCTCTAAAAGAGAAAGACTTACTTTTAAACATAGACGAACACCATCATCACTCTCTGAAAAAGCAACAGAAATTCCTTAGTATCGTCAAATATCCAGTCAGTGTTCGCAGTTTCCCGGGACACTGGTGGTATTTTAAAGCTCCCCAGGTGATCCTAGTGGGCAGCATGGGTTGACATCATTGCCTTGCTCAGTAAATTAAATTCTTTATTTCTGAAGCAGCCCAGGGGTCCCAAGGGGATGGGGACTTTGATATAGGGAAAATCCCAGGCTGACTCAGGTGACCTAATCCTGTACTCCCCATTGCTTCCTCTCTGTATAGTGCCACCTGTGTGACAAGACATTCATGAATGCCACCTTTCTCCGGGGCCACATCCAGCGCAGGCATGCAGGCGTAGCAGAAGGGGGTGAGTCCAGACAGCAGCCCAGGCCCCTTCTGGGACTGTGGAAGGGCCGGGGGCTGGTATTCAGTGGGTGGCGACCACCTATACCACCCAAAACTGCTCTCAGAACCTCACTGTCCAGTTGGGAAGGGGATGATCCCACCATCCACCACCGGGGGAGCCCCCATGGGTTGGAAGGGTTTCTGACCCCATGTGTAAAGAAGGGCTGGAGTCAGACAGGTAGGTTTCAATCTTAGCTCTGTCCCTATTTATTATGTAACCTTGGTCCATGCTTTCCCCTCTGTGTCTCAGTGGCCTTCGCTGTGAATGGGGCAGTCAGATGGAGTGACTTTGAAGGGCTCTTACCTTTCAGCCTTCTGCGAATCTGCAATTTCCTGATGCCAGCCACGAATAAGGCTAAATGGGGTGAATGGGCAGTCAGACCAGTTCTTTGACTTCTCTACATACTTGAGATTATCATGACCTAATCACTTTAATTTTACAACTTCAGATTCCAAAATGAGAAGCAAGGCTGTATGTTTTCCCCATAAACAGTTTTGCATATTTTACATTCACTTTTGAGACAGGGTCTCACTCTGTCACCCAGGGTGGAGTGCAGTGGCTTGATCTCGGCTCCTCTGCAGCCTCCACCTCCCGGGCTCAAGCGATCCCCCTCCCTCAGCCTCCTGAGTAGCTGGGACTACAGGCACACACCACCATACCTGACTCATTTTAAACATTTTTCATAGAGATGAGGTCTCACTCTGTTGGCCAGGCTGGTCTCAAATTCCTGGGCTCAAGCGATCTGCCTGCTTTGGCCTCCCAAAGTGCTGGGATTATAGGCGTGAGCTATTGCGCTCAACCTATATTCCCTTTTTGAGGTTCAACAAGAAACATTAGTTAAAACATAAAACAAATATAGATGTAAAAATGCCATTACGTACATCTTTTCCTATTTTCCATCATTCAAATTCCCTTTTCATAAAAGAAGTACCACTTACCTAAAACTGTGTATTTAATGCATATCTAATTCTTCTTAGTTCTGCATTGGAGGCTATAAGGAAAGATAAATTTTCCATGCCTTCAATTTTTTTTGAATAAAAATGTGTCTCTGATATAGAAAATTTAAATATAGGAAATTAGAAAAGAGAAAATAAAAACCATAGACAATATCACCAGCAGTTAATATTTTGGTGTATTCTCTGTCATTTTTTTTCTGTAGACATATATAATCATATAGTGTGCGCTTTGACTATTGCTTATTTTCATTTAAGAATATGTCATATTTTCCAATGTCATTAAATTATCTTTGAAAATGTGATTTTTTAATGGCCGAATAGTATTTCATTAAGTGGCTATCATAATTTATTTCACAATTTCCTCCTGTTGAATATATGGCTTACCCCAACATTTCTTTATTATAAATCACATGATAATTGATATTCTTACTTGTCAATCTTTGTGCATAGTTCTTATTTCCTTAATGTAAAGTGCTGTAAGGAGAGAGAAATGTGTTCTTAAGATCATTTTTGCTATGTTAATGGTCATGGCCTCTTTATTCGCAGGCAGCTGACTTCCCAGATGCCCCGCTCTCCTATTCCACAGTCGCCTCAAATCATATTGTTAAAGCAGATTAATTTCTACTGCAACTAAAAATTGCTTGTTTGTAAAATGTACAACCTGAGAAAAACCACATCACTTTTCAAAGAAAAGGCTTAGAATTTTAATAACAGTATGATTTATCTAGTAATCACTAAATATGCTTTAAAAAGTAACAAATGTTCAACAATAATTGGATTCTTTTTTGACCCTGAACTCTTGCTTTATCATCAGTATGTGGTTTAGTTAGGATGTTTTTTATAATTTATTCTGAATCTTTTTATTCACTTAAACAATTTAAAGTATACACTAAAAGGAGCTTTGGTTCTTTATAATACATGCTGCTGCTTTTTCATTTGAAATTTATTTATTTATTTATTTATTGAGATGGAGTCTTGCTGTCTCCCAGGCTAGAGTGCATTGGTACTATCTTGGCTCACTGCAACCTCTGCCTCCGGGGTTCAAGCGATTCTTCTGCCTCAGCCTCCCGAGTAGCTGTGGTTACAGGCACCCGCCACCACACTTGGCTAATTTTTTTTGTTTTTTCAGTAGAGACGGGGTTTCACCATGTTGGTCAGGCTAGTCTTGACCTCATGATCAGCCCGCCTCGGCCTCCCAAAGTGCTGGGATTACAGGCATGAGCCACCGCGCCTGGCCTGACGTTTAAAAGTATACACGTACATTACTGAAAACAGTGAACTTAAAACTACAATAATTTTTATTACTTTAAAATTCTCTCTGATTACTGTCAGGATACATAGATATGTTCTTTTTATTGATAATTGGTGTATATGCTATTTGATATTCTGTTCTGTTACTACAGTAATTTTAAATTTCTATTTCCATATGTCAGTACTGTCAAAATACTTAAAGTGACAGTACAATAGTAATTCACATTTTTTGAGCTGTCGTGCCAAGCACTATGCTAAGCACTTTGCATTCTCACATTTCATCCTCACAGCAGCCCTCTGAGTTAGGTGCTATTGTTATCTCTATTTTCCAGTTTGGGGAAACAGAGGGACACTGAGGTTATGTTCTTTGCCCAAGGTCAATGTACTAAGTAGTGAAGCTGGTTTCAGACCGAGATGTGGCTGATTGACGAGGTAAGAAACTACACTCCCTTGATTTTTGGACTTAAACTGATCACCTGTCTTTGCATGGACCCCACAGGAAAACAGAAGAAGCAGGAACAGCCAGTGGAAGAGGTGTTAGAAGAGCTACGGGCCAAGCTAAAGTGGACCCAAGAGGAGCTGGAAGCTCAGAGGGAGGCGGAGAGGCAGCGGCAGCTCCAGGTGGGCAGGGAGAGAAAACATCAGGGAGACCCGGGTCATGGACCTACCCCAGGAGACCCTTGATGCTCAGGAATCCCACAGGGCAAACGTTCCAGCTGGTTTCCCAGAGCTGAGAGTCAGAACTGGGATAGTGCCTTCTCAGACATGGCAAATGATTTTAGGTAGCCTGGAAAGGAAAATTGAATTATTTTTGCCAGACTTATGTGGACGAAAGTAGAGCAGAGAGATGCAGTTTCCTGCATTAGTCAGCACCCTCTGAGGACATTTGCACCTGAATTTTAGCTTCGTACACAATACTATGTTAACTTTTTGAGGACAGAGACTGGGTTTGATTCTGAAAGCTCCAGAACTCAACGCAGAGAAGATGCTCAGTAAATGTTTGTAGAATGAAAATACATGAAGTTACCCTGCTCATCCCTTCGTTATTCATCCCCTCAGCATGCATTTATTGAGCACCGGCTGCATAGTGGGTATTGTGACGAATACAGGCATACCTCTTTTTTTGTGTTTTGTATGTTTCACAGACATTGTATTGTTTGCACATTGAAGGTTTGTGCCAACTCTGTGTTGAGCAAGTTTATCAGCATCATTTTCCAACAGCTTGTGCTCACTTCATGTCTATATATCACATTTTGGTAATTCTCACATTTCAAACTTTTTCATTATTATGAAAAATAATGTTATGGTGATCTGTGATCAGTGATCTTTGATGTTACTGTTGTAATTGTTTTGGGGTGCCACAAACTGTCCATATAAGATGGCAAACTTAAGCATCTCTCACTTTAAATCAAAAAGTAGGAATGATTAAGTTTAGTGACGAAGGCATGTCGAAAGCTGAGATGGGTTGAGAGGCAGGCCTCTTGTGCCAAACAGCCAAGTTGTGAATACAAGGGAGATTTGAAGGAAATTTAAAGTACTACTCCACTGACCACACAAATGATAAGAAAGTGAAACAGCCTTATTACTGAGATGGAGAAAGTTTTAGTGGTCTGGATAGAAGATCAGACCAGCCACAAAATTCCCTTAAGCCAAAGCTTAATCCAGAGCAAGGACCTAACTCTCTTCACTTCTATGAAGGCTGAGAGTGACGAAGCTGCAGGAGAAAAGTTGGAAGCTATAAGAGGTTGGTTCATAGGTTTAAGGAAAGAAGCCATCTCCATAACAATGAAAGTGCAATGTGAAGCAGCAAGTGCTAATATAGAAGCTGCAGCAAGTTATCTTGAAGATCTAGCTAAGATCATTGATGAAGGTAACTGTACTAAACAGATTTTCAGTGTAGAAAAAATAACCTTCTATAGGAAGAAGCCATCTAGAACTTTTATAGCTGGAGATAAGACAATGCCTGGCTTCACAATTTCAAAGAACAGCATGATTCTTTTGTTAGGGTCTAATACAGCTGGTGACTTTAAGTTGAAGCCAATGCTCATTTGCTACTGTGAAAATTCTAGGGTCCTTAAGAATTATGCTAGCTCTACTCTACCTGTGCTCCAAAAATGGAACAAGAAAGTCCAGATGACAGCACAGCTGTTTACAGCATGGTTTACTGAATATTTTAAGCCCACTGTTGAGATCTACTGCTAAAAAAAGATTCTTTTCAAGATAATTACTGCTCATTGACAATGTTCCTGGTCACCTAAGAGCTCTGGTGGAGATGTACAAGGAGATTTGTATTGTTTTCAAGCCTGTTAACACAATATCCATTCTGCAGCCCATGAATCGAGGAGTAATTTTGACTTCCAAGTTTTATTATTTAAGAAATACATTTTGTAAGGTTATAGCTGTCTAGATAGTGATTCCTCTGATGCATATGAGCAAAGTAAATTGAAAACCTTTTGGAAAGGATTTGCCATTCGGGATGCCATTAAGAAAATGTGTGATTCTTTGGAGGAGGTTGGAGTTTGGATGAAATAGATTCCAGCCATCTTGGATGACTTTAAGGGATTCAAGACTTCAGTGGAGGAAGCCACTGCAGATGTGGTGGAAATAGCAAGAGAAATAGACTTAGAAGTGAGCCTGAAGATGGGACTGAATTGCTGCAACCTCATGATAAAACTAATGGTTGAGGAATTGCTTCTTATGGATGAGCAAATAAAGGAATTTCTTGAGATGGACTCTACTACTGCTGAAGATGCTGTGAACATTGTTGAAATGATAAGAAAGGACTTAAAATATTACACAAACTTAGTTGAGAAAGCAGCAGTAAAGTTTAAGAGAATTGACTCTGATTTTGAAAGAAATTCTACTGTGTGTCAAATGCTACCAAAGAGCATCTCATGCTATAGAGAGATCTTTCATGAAAGGAGGAGTCAGTCCATGTGGCAAACTTCACTGGTGTCTTTTTTTTTTGACAGAGTCTTGCTCTGTCGCCCAGGCTGGAGTGCAGTGGCATGATCTTGGCTCACTGCAACCTCTGCCTCCTAGGTTCAAGTGATTCTCCTGCCTCAGCCTCCCGAGTAACAGATTCCAGGCACGTGCTGCCACACCTGGCTAATTTTTTGTATTTTTAGTAGAGACAGGGGTTTTGCCATGTTGGACAGGTTGGTCTTGAACTCTTGACTTTAAGTGATCCACCCACCTCGGCCTCCTAAAGTGTTGGGGTTACAGGTGTGACCCACTATGCCTGGCCTGTTGTCTTATTTTAAGAAATTGCCACAGCACCCAAGCCTGATCAGTCAGCAGCCATCAACCTCAAGGCAAGACCCAGCACCAGCAAAAAGATTATGACTTACTAAAGGATCAGATGATCGTTAGCATTTTTTAGCAATAAAGTATTTTTAAAAAATTTTATTATTATTTTTTATTTTTCCATAAGTTATTGGGGTACAGGTAGCATTTGTTTACATGAGTAAGTTCTTTAGTGGTGACTTGTGAGATTTTGGTGCACCCATCACTGAACGATATACACTGCAAAACCATATTTGTTGTCTTTTACCCCTTGCCCCCCCTCCCATTCTTCCTCTCAAGTCCCCAAAGTCCATTGTATCATTCTTATGCCTTTGTGTCCTCATAGCTTAGCTCCTACATATCAGTAAAAACATACATGTTTGATTTTCCATTCCTGAGTTACTTCGCTTAAAATAATAGTCTCCAATATGATCCAGGTCACTGCAAATGTTGTTAATTCATTCTTTTTTATGGCTAAGTAGTATTCCTTCATATATATATATAACTGTGAGAGAGATATATATATATCTCACAGTTTCTTTATCTGCTCATTGATTGATGAGCATTTAGTTTGATTCCACGATTATGCAATTGTGGATTATGGTACTGTAAACGTGTGTGCAAGTATCTTTTTCGAATAATGACTTCTTTTCCTCCGGGTAGATACCCAGTAGTGGGATTGCTGGATCCAACAGTAGTTCTAGTTTTAATTCTTTCTTTCTTTCTTTATTTTTTTGAGACAGAGTCTCGCTCTGTCACCCAGGCTGGAGTGCAATGGTGCGACCTCAGCCCACTGCAATCTCCACCTCCTGGGTTCAAGTGATTCTCCTGCCTCAGCCTCCTGAGTAGCTGGAACTACAGGTGCTTGCCACCACGCCTAGCTCATTTTTTGAATTTTGAGTAGAGACAGGGTTTCACTGTGTTAGACAGGATGGTCTCCATCTGCCTGCCTTGACCTTCCAAAGTGCAGGGATTACAGGTGTGAGCCACTGCACCCAGCCCTCATTTTAATTCTTTAAGGAATCTCCACACTGTTTTCCATAGTGGCTGTACTAGTTTACATTCCCACCGGCAGCGTAGAAGTGTTCCCTGATCACCGCATCCATGCCAACATCTACTGTTTTTTGATTTTTTGATTATGGCCCTTCTTGCAAGAGTGAGGTGGTATCGCATTGTGGTTTTGATTTGCATTTCCCCAATCATTAGTGATGTTGAGCATTTTTTCATATGCTTGTTGGCCATTTGTACATCTTCTTTTGAGAATTGTCTATTTACGTCCCACTTTTTGATAGGATTGTTTGTTTTTTTCTTACTGATTTGTTTGAGTTCATTATAGATTCTGGATATTAGTCCTTTGTCAGATGCATAGATTATGAAGATTTTCTTCCACTCTGTGGGTTGTCTGTTTACCCTGCTTACTGTTCCTTTTGCCATGCAAAAGTTCTTTAGTTTAATTAGGTCCTAGCTATTTATCTTTGTTTTTAAGCAATACAATATTTTTAAATAAAGTTATGTACTTTTTTTATACATAATCCTATAGAACACTTAGTAGGTTACAGTCTAGCATAAATGCAACTTTTATATACACTGGGGAGCAAAAATATTTATATGACACACTTGTTTTATTGTGATACTTGCTTTATTCCAATACTTGCTTTATTGTGATATTCTCTTTATTGTGGTGGTCTGGAACTGAACCTGTAATATCTCAGAGGTATTCCTGCATAGAGAAAAAGAAACAAGTCCTTATACTCAAGAGACTTTACAGTTCAGGTAAGACTGGCTTAGACTGGTCCTCCCAAGTCCAAACAACGGGAACTGTGGGATGAATGTTCTTTGGGTCTCCATAGTGACTTGGATAGACAAGGAAGCCTAAGCAGGTCTTAGTAAATATTTGCTGTGATGTGGAATTAATCATCATATTGTTCTTGCTCTTCTTTGTAGGAAGCAGAGATCATTCAACAGAGGGAAGTAGAAGCTAAGAAAGAATTTGATAAATGGAAAGAACAAGAGTGGACCAAACTTTATGGGGAAATAGACAAACTAAAAAAATTATTTTGGGATGAATTTAAAAATGTTGCCAACCAGAACTCTACACTAGAAGAGGTACCCAACATAAAAGGCTTTTCAAAGTTCTTTTGTTGGAAATCTGCTTATTCTCAAAATTTATATCTTGGTTTGTACTAGTTTTATTTCATCTGCTATTGGAAACTAAAACACTGTGAGGTCAGTTATCAGAAGCCAGTTATCAGAGGCCTGATATCAGAGGCCCAGATATCAGAGACCTTGGGGCTGAATCACTGCTGTGTCACATACTGGCTGTGAGACCTTGGATGAGTTAGTTAACCTCCTCATGCCTCAGTTTTATGACTGTAAGATAGACTGCTGAGAGGGTTAAATTAGTACACATACAGTATGTAACATTATCTAGCATGTAGTAATATATCAGTAGTATATCTGGTATATAGTAATATCGCTAAGTATTATTCTTATTTTTGCCAAGGGGTTTCATCACTGGACAAGAAATGGGATAAAATTTAGATGAATGCGTTTTTCTCCCAACAAATATTCCCTGAATCCTGGTTACATGCCAGACACTGTGTTAGGGTCTTCAGAGGTCAGACATAATACCTACCATTTACTGACTGTATTTACTATTTTCCAGCCCCCATGCAGTATACTTTATATACACTAACTTTTCATCTTCATAGCAACCAACCATAACATTCTCAAAATAGGTGCATTACTAGTTTAGTACTTTTTTTTGAAGTTTTTTTTTTAAAGCTATTTTCTTTCTTTCTCTCTTTCCTTCCTTCCTTCCTTCCTTCCTTCCTTCCTTCCTTCCTTCCTCCCTCCCTCCCTCCCTCCCTCCCTCCCTCCCTCTCTCTCCCCCTCCTCCCCACCTCCCCTCCCCACCTTCCTTTCTTGCTCTCATTCTCCCGTTTTGTCGCCCAGGCTGAAGTGCAGTGGTGCGGTGTTGGCTCACCGCAACCTCCATCTCCCGGGTTCAAGTGATTCTCGTGCCTCAGCCTCCAGAGTATCTGGGATTACAGGCGTGTGCCACCGTGCCTGGCTAATTTTTGTATTTTTTGAAGAGACGGGGTTTCACCATGTTGACCAGCCTTGTCTGGAACTTTTGACCTCAAATGATCCGCCCACCTCAGCTTCCCAAAGTGCTGGGATTACAGGCATGAGTCACTGTGCCCAGCTATCATTCTTTCTTTATAGGTGAAGAAATTGAGGCCATATAACTTGCCCAAGGTCACTTAGCTAGGAAGAGATGGAGCTGGGATTTGAACCTAGCTCTTTAATTTCCAAAGATCCTATTCTTCTACTGGATATACTATCAAGTTTATGCAGGAAAACCTTATTAAAGTTATCCCTGGGCTGGGCGCAGTGGCTCACGCCTGTAATCCCAGCACTTTGGGAGGCCAAGGTGGGTGGTTCAGCATGGCCAACATGACGAAACCCCGTCTGTACTAAAAATACAAAAATTAGCTGGGTGTGGTGGCGGGTGCCTATAATCCCAGCTGCTTGGGAGGCTGAGGTGGGAGAATAACCTGAACCCAGGAGGTAGAGGTTGCAGTGAACTGAGATCGCACCACTGCACCCCAGCCTGGGTGACAGAGTGAGACTCCGTCTCAAAAGAAAAAAGTTATCCCTTGACCATATCTTCCCATATAAACCTGGATGACTAAAACTGTATCAAGGAAAAAGTTTTAACGAAAAATATTTTTTAAATGTATTTATCTCTCATTGGTCCTCCTAGATCAAGGAGAATCTTGTTTTTGAAAATGAACCGTCTAATAGCTTTTTTCACAGTCATTCCATGTTTTACCTAAAGAAACACCTAGGCAAATTTTTTTTCAAAAGGAAATTGTCATATGCCTGGAGTCTTGGGTGCTCCATCATTCCTGTCTGAGATGGAAAGCCAAAGGTGGAAGGTGGACAGGTTGAAATGAGAACTCTGTGTGCACTGGGGTGGGGGTGGGGGCTCCCTCAAATGACACCGTTCCATCCAAAATGCTTCCCAGCTGGGCCAGGCATGATTGTGGAAGAGAAGATACTGGTCCACTATTGACCTCATGCTCCTAATACACAGCTCCACATCCATCCTTCCCAAGCGCATGCAAACATCTCGTGACCCCCACACTTCCCCAACACAGTGCTAGCTGACTAGACGTTTGATAAATAGGTATTGATAGGAATTTCAAGTTGCTGTTCAGAAACCGCCTCTTCAAGGGTCAAAGGGTTACTTTTGGTCAGAAAATTATGAGTTTCGGTGAATGAGGACATAATCCTTATCATCAATGATATCCTTTTTAACTTGGATCACATTCTCCTAAACTGAAACATCCTATCTTTTTTTTTTTTTTTTTTCCTTTAATACAGGTTCTCACCCTATTGCCTAGGCTCAACTGCAGTGACACAATCACGGCTCACTGCAGCGTTGACCTCCCAGGCTCAAGTGATCCTCCTTCAGCCTCCTGAGTAGCTGTGACTACAGGCACGTGCTGCCACACCCAGCTAATTTTCAGATTTTTTGTAGAGATGGGGTTTTGCCATGTTACCCAGGCTGGCCTCCTGGGCTCAAGTAATCTGCCCATTCCAGCCTCCCAATGTGCTGGGATTACAGGCTTGAGTCACTGCGCTCGGTCCATCTTATTCTTTTTTAAAAACCTTTCCCCTATAGGATTCTTTATATTGTGTTTGTGTGTTTGTGTGTCTTACCCCTGTCTCCTTTCAATATTTTATTGTTTTACTTTTATTAAAGTATAGGAATCAAACTGGATACCAAATTCTCAGTGTAGTTGGGTAGTCATTTTGTTAATTTATTTAAAAAATTTTTAAGGGTAAAAACAAGCAAGATTCCATTTAGAATGATTGTTAAATAAAACACTGTAAGATGTCCATTTTCAAAATGCAAAAACCGATTCTCCCTGATGTGAGGAAGGCCAATGAAACTCTATGTATTTTGAAAATATTTTTTTCCTCAAAACTTTTTGCTTGATACAGAAGTCTGAGAGCTTACTTTGGCTATGTCACCTGACTAAAGAGAGAACTTTAGATTAGACCTGGGGTAAACTCAGATGCCAAAGGAGTGTCTAGCTAAATGAAAAAATCATGAAAGTTTGTAATGCCAAGAAAGTCAGCTCTGTGGTGTGTCATAAGCAGCATATGGAAACCAGGAGTGACACATCAGAACCCGGGAGTTGTACATACATCTGATCAAGCATTTGACTCTTTGATAATATTCAAGGAGTTTAGAAACTGTTAACCTTTGGAACCAGTATTGCTTGGCAATAGTTGAGAAGTGTTAGCAAGAATGATGCCAAGTTAAACTTAGGCACTTCCAGTTTCTTCCTTAAAGCCTTAATAGGGCTTATGAGTTTTATACAGTCATACAGATGGAAATACGTTGCTTTTGTTACTACACCAGTCATATATTATAAGAAATAATCATAGGTGGGTGGAAAGGCATCCTGTCTTTGATCCAATTTTCTGTACCTTTTCCTTCAGGTCACACACACTACTAGCCCAGGAATCACCAGGTATTGATGACTCTACTCCAAGCTGTGCAAAGCCTTTTCTGGAGACAGCCAGGATGTTTTGTAGGGAGAGAGGCAGGAGTCCTCAAGGAGTGGCCTGGGGTGCCTGAGACCCTCCCATAGGCTCTAAGAGTCTCATTCTCATCAGCTTATTCCAGACTGAGGAAGAAATGGGACAGCAGTCAGGAGAGCTCAGGATATTGAGTATAGCAGAATTTAAGTGAAGTGGAAACTACACTCTTTAATTTGTTCTTCCATGGAATTGCTTTTTCTATGCAAGGGCTGAGCCCCCAGGAGAGCCCTTGTACAGGGGAATGCTGATTTGTGTGAATATTTGTAGGTGTGTAGGTATCTAGTGAGGATAAGTTGGGAGGATGAGTTGGGTAAGGCGTGCCCCTCTGATCTGACATCATGATGAGATCTTCATCTGAATAAAACTGTGCCCTGGCCTTTTCAGAAACTGCGGGCACTGCAGTCCCACAGTGTGATGGAGTCCAACCTGGGATCACTGCGAGATGAGGAGTCGGAGGAGTGGCTCCGGCAGGCACGGGAGCTTCAGGCCCTGAGAGAGAAGACAGAAATTCAGGTGAGCTGATGCTCCATGCCTTTCTTCCCAGAGGAAGCCGAGAGCCATCTTCTCTTCCAATATATTCTCTCATTTATGAATGTAGAGAAGTTGAAGGACATCAAAGTTCTGTATTTTCAGACCTTCTGCCAGTACATGAAAGCATAGAATAGGGTTCTCAGGTGAGGCTGGTGGTATGTGTGCAATGTCAGATTTGCCTAAGATCATTTAAAAAATACATAAAACTCTGTCTCTTATTTGACACCTTTGCCCCATTCTAATTCTAGCCTAGTTGGAAACAACTCTTAGAAAGTATGACAGTCTCTTGGGTTTGAAGATATTTGGGATGCATCCAGTGTTGTGATGGTAGTTGTTTAGCAAACAGCTCTCTGGAACTAAAACACTTTAATTTGTAGCATTTGCCAATTTCCATTGTATAAATAACTCCCACCATGGCCGATTTCCTGCTATCGATGTGAGGTCACTGAATGGAGCCAGGAAGACTTGTGCAGTCTGCTCTCACGGGCTGGTAGGAGGTGGCTCTGGCCACCCCTGGATGAATTTTACTGCCGTCTGGTTATAAAATGGTCTGTATCACTGATAATTCCATGGCAAAGAAGGGTAGTTGGCACAGGTGTTAAATCATGTTGAGCTTCTCTTTCTGCTGTCCGAGAATCTTGCGAAAAAATGTAAAGTCTAACAATCTAACAAGGTGTTTCTGCCGATTGATGTTTGACAGGTTTCACATTATAAAGAGGCCACTCTTTTCCCGAGAACTCTGTTCACGTTCTTTGTCTACTTTTCTATTATTGATGTTTCCCCTATCAATTTATGCGTTTGTATAATGTATGGAAACTAACTCAGCCCTTTGTTATTCTACTTGTGGTTATTTTCCCCAGTATTCTGTTGGTCCTTCAATTTTGTTTATTATGGTTTAGCCATACAACAATACATTAATGTTTATGTAGTCAAAATTATCCAATTACTCATATTTTCTTTATGGCCTTCCTCATTCTGAGATTTAAAAAGACAACATTCCTGTGTTTTCTTTTAGTACTTTCATGGCCTTATTTTTTGTGTTAAATCTTTGACCCACCTACAATATATTTTGGTTTAAGATGTGTAATAAGGATCCAACCTCCTATTTTTTTTCAGGTAGCTAGCCATTTGTTCCAACATCATTAGTCAGTAATCCATGTCCCTCTCCTCATACTGTTTCCATTTATTTCCATCTTTGTCTGGATTTTCTATTCTATTCCACTACTCTGTCTGCCTACCCATGAGCCAGTAACTTCCTGTAGCTTTATAACGTGTTTTAATACCTGCAAAGGTCCATTTGATAAGCTTTTAATCTTTTTCAGAAAATGGAGTGGAAAAGAAAAATTAAGGAACTGCATGAAGAGCACGTGGCTGAGAAGAAAGAGGTAGCTTTTGTTGGGTGATCTCGGGGAGCTTGGTTTCCCGTGCCCTCCTCTCAGAATTCAGCATTCTCCATGTCCCCTCACCCACCATCTCCCCTGTCTCACCCGGAACTGGTTGGCAGATAATTTGCTGCAGATTTTGCTCCTGGGTACTGTCCCCTCAGTACACAGAAGGGGTGAACTGTCCAGCCAGCAGCTTCCCTGTCCAGGAACAGGGCCCTCCAGGCCTTCTCTGAATCAAACACATCCTTTGTTCTGTGGTCTTCTTTGCAGTGACTCCTATAGGCCCTCCAGGGAGGGTGGTGCCATAAGCCTCAGATGAATCGCCTGGTCATTTCATGTTTAGGCTCTTCTTTGAAATTCCCCCACTCTAGGAGAGAACCAGGCGGCCGTGGGCCTCTGTGATAGTTCAGTGGCAGTCCGAAGGGAAGGACTTGTAAAAATGCCTTGAGCAGGAGGCAAGTTGAGGAGGAAGCTGGTTCATAAGAGCCCCAGGTTCTGCCCGCAGAAAGCTCAGAAGATGAAAAGGCTTAGATCAGTCTGGTCCATGGTAGACGCTCCTCACTGCGGTGTAGGGAAGCACGATCACTCACATGTGATGGTTTTATTTTATCTGAAGCATTTCCAAATGGGAAATATGTTCACATTTGTTCCAAAAACAGGAGAAATATATTAAGTTACACTGAGTAGAGTCTCACTCCCACCTGTTGCCATCTACCTGTCCCCAACACCTATTGCTCAGGTGACTTTTATGGCTTTCTTTTGTATTCTTCTAAAGTTTCTTTATGCAAATATTAATAAATATTTTCACTTTATTTCTGCTGTTACATCAGAAGTAGCGTGTTAACTTGTTTTCTTCACTTCTTGTTTTCACCTAAAAACATCCATTTGATGATTTTCAAATGGTTTTAATTTATCTGACTGTTCCTCAATGGGTGGCTACACCTGACAGACAGCCCTTTTTCTCCTAGTCTTAAACGCATGCCTTCCATTCTTACTTCTTAGGCACAGCGCAAAAATGTCCACAGACTTGAAGGTAGTCTTGTTAGAAAGCCTGTCCAGGTCTAGGCCAGGCGCGGTGGCTCAAGCCTGTAATCCCAGCACTTTGGGAGGCCGAGACGGGCGGATCACGAGGTCAGGAGATCGAGAGCATCCTGGCTAACACGGTGAAACCCCATCTCTACTAAAAAATACAAAAAACTAGCCAGGCAAGGTGGTGGACGCCTGTAGTCCCAGCTACTCGGGAGGCTGAGGCAGGAGAATGGCGTGAACCCGGGAGGCGGAGCTTGCAGTGAGCTGAGATCCGGCCACTGCACTCCAGCCTGGGCAACAGAGCAAGACTTCGTCTCAAAAAAAAAAAAAAAAAAAAAAGCCTGTCCAGATCTCAAAATCCTTTACCATGCTTGCCCGGCACTTGCCTACAGGTGCTGGGCCTGCAGATACTGGGCACTCAGATGTCCCTGCAGACATTTGACTGACCAGCCATCTTGTGCCTGCCAGCTACAGGAGGAGAACCAGAGGCTCCAGGCCTCCCTGTCTCAGGATCAGAAGAAGGCAGCTGCCCAGTCCCAGCGCCAGATCAGCGCCCTCCGTGCCCAGCTGCAAGAGCAAGCTAGGATCATTGCCTCCCAGGAGGAGATGGTAGGTCTGTCCCCCCTTTCAGCCAGGCCTTGGTGTCCCTGGGCCTCTTTCCCGTGAGGATCTCCTTGGATTCTTCTGGGCTTAGTGCTAGTCTTACCACTCAGGCTCCTTAAGGAGAGAGAAAAGTCCTCTGGCATGAAGGGCACAAAATCATTAGGCTGTAGCTGCCTCCTTCCAGGCTGAAGATGTGCCGTCTCCTTAGGGGCTGCTGGCAGATGGGGCCACTCTAACAGCAGAGACCATATAAAATGCTCAGCACCTCACTGATACTTTGCTTACTACCTCGTTTAAGCCTCACTACTGTCCTTCAAGGTAGGCATCCCCTTCTCCCCATCTTCATTTGACAGATGGTGAAATACACTGGAGAAGGGAAGTGCTTCGCTCAAGTCTTCATGGGGCACTCTGTAAGTGATGAGATTTAACCCTGGCCAGCCAGGAAGAATGCAAAGCTTGTGTTTTTTACACAGTGTTCTCAGGCAGAATTCCTTAACCAGTACCTTTTTCATAAAGGAACAGTCTCTGATGAGGTGAGAGAGAAGGCAGTGTGATGAAAAGGCACTCACTTAACACCTTTCTCCTAAAGCTGGCCCCTGTGACTCTTTACCTGTTGCTGACAATTCTCTGCCCAGTCCAGGCCGAGCTCTCCCTCCCGAGCCCCAGGTCCATGGAAAATCTGTATCTTCCTCTGCTCCCACTCACCTCATGGACCAGGCTCCACACAACTTCCCTGGGCTGAGCACCCATTGTTACTGCCTAGTCCTGGCCTCTTGTTCCTGCACCCCTTGCTATTTGTGCTTTCCCGCACACCCAGCCACATTTCACCCAGGTGACATAACTACCCCACTCTCTTGCTACTTTTCAGTTTCCCCCGCAAAACACTCAGCTCTGCACTGAACTCTAGTCTGGAGGTGTCCTAAGGAGGAAACCACGGCAGAGTTTCCACAATGTTCCCTGCTGGCTATAATGTCCTGTATGTTACTCAGAACTCTTGTTTGCAAATGATTCAGTTAGGAGCCTATTGGCTAAAGATAACAGAATAGGCTAATAGGGGCTTATTTTTATTGTCACAGCAAGAGAGGTGACAGTTGCTGGGCTTGGTTAGCAGCAGAAGTATGCCATTGTGAATCCAGACTGTGTTTTTCTTTTTACCATCTTCAGTGTGATGACTTTTGTTTCCCGCTTCACTTTCATAGTTGCAAGCAGACTACTGTAGCCCCAACCATACAACCATATTTGGCAGAAGAAGTTGATGACATAGTCCCTTCCCAAGACTTGTGCTTATCTATGTTGCTGGTTAAAGCTGTGTCACGTGGGAAACTACAGCTGCAAAGCAGGCTGGGAAAGTAAACAGCTAGTTCTGCAGTTTGGAGTGAGGTAGGCAAAGGAGACAGCAGTGGGGAATGGACACTGGATGAGTCATACATCAGTATGTGCCACCGCAGGTGATAAAAAGCAACCCAAACTTAAGCAGAAAAGGGAGTTTGTCATAAGGGTAGATGGAGCATCTCACAGAGCTCACGGCAGGGAGCAGCTGAGTCTGGGAGTAAACTGAAACCAGAGACATGAATGTGGTCATCAGTTTTCCTCTTCTGTGTGTCTCTGTTACTTTCTCTATAACTGCTTTATTTTTCCCTTTTACCCTGAAGATCAGCTTCTGCTTCTTATCTGTTTCATGTGGTAAAACAAACAAATATATAAACCAAGAAAACCACAAACAGTTGGTTGCCAACAGCTCTTGATTTCATTCATTGCCAGTCCAGAGCTCTCTGCCCAAACCTGACGCTGGGTCCGGCTGTGGTGTGAAGCCACACACCTGTGGCTGTCCTGCCTGCAGCCATGAAGGAGGAAGGAAGAGGAACTTCTTGGAGCAGGGGGGTTGAGCAGATCGTTCAGTGAATGTCTACATCTGGCCTCCTGTCCGGGATCATGTCTGACTCCTTCCTCCCAGGGAGTGCTCTGCTCAGTTGCCCACATTGTGGGAGGGAGCCTCTCCTTTGCCCTGGCTGTTTCCCATGAATTATACCAATAGGAACAACTGTGTGCCTGTCCCACTCTGTTTCTATGGGGTTCCCGCCCTCGAGCCTTAATTCTTCTTTGAAGAGGGGACATTCTTGCCCCCCCCACCTTGGAAAATGGAGCATGCTGCCATTCCCTTTCACACACGGACCCCAGAGATGTGTCAGGAGACTGGGGTGGTGCATCTGAGCTCCTTCCAGTTCCCAATGGGAGGCATGAAATCAGTAACCATCCCTTCCTCACTGTGCTAGGCAGACACACTGCTCGAAGCAGAGTTCTCACAACGTTCTCTGCTGGTTGTAACCCGCTCTATTCCACCTCTTTGCAGATCCAGTCCTTGTCCCTCAGGAAGGTGGAAGGTAAGTCTACACAGGGCAGTGTGTAGCAGTCTTGACTGTTGTGTCTGGCTTTTCTCCCTCCTTTTCCCTCCCCCCAATCAATTCACGGGTGGTGGATGGGTGACAGCCGCCTGTGGACATGTAGTGTCAGGCGTCTGGGACACACAGCCTGCAGCTGCGTTTGTGCTGAAGGCTTTCCATGCAGCTGGCAGAGCTTCCTGCCTGGTTTGCTCCTGTCTATAGAGGGATGGAGGCAGTGGGGAGGAGGGTGGTTTTGGGTAGAGTGGGGGTTCATGAGAAGGCTTTTCTAATTCACCATGCCTGCAGCGAATGAGGAAAATTAGGATTCAGCGTTGCCAGCAACCTTTACCTTGTTCCCAGTGTTCAGCAAGTTGACCCCAACCTCATGTGACTGTGTCCTGTTTGGCATATACAGTCTCCTCCTCTTGGGTACTCTGGTATGGGGATGCATGTATCTGTGTGTAATGGGGTGCAGGTGCTGGCATCTAAAGGTAGACGGCAACCCGCAGGGGACTACTGTTTAGAGGACCTTGGACAGCCCTTTGTGAAGTTTGGCCCTTCATCCTCCACCCCCAACTCCCCTGTCCTATGGCTTTAGCTACACTTCTGCCTTTTATTGCAAACTCACATTTCCTCCTATCTTGCCCTCCTCCCACCCCCTTCCCAGCCATGCAGCCAGTTCAGAGAGGCCCGACCCCTGTGGCCCTGAACTTCTTGAGGGATGGAGCCAGAACAGAGCCAGTAATAACAGCCATGTGCTACACCCTTCCCCAGCCACTTCAGATTCATCATCTCATTACATTGGCTCACTATTGAATGTGGTGTCGATATTATTATCCTCATTTTCTAGACTGGGAAACTAAGGCTTAGAGGGGTTCAAGGACTTGCCTCTTTCACAGATAGTGAGGGGCAGAGCTAGTGTGTGGACTCTGATTTTTCTGCCCCCAGTGTCTGCTGCATCCTGCCTTTCTACAGTCAAGATGAACTGACTGGAGGGTTTTCTCTTTCTGGTTTATACTCAGCTGGAGTCCTGTACTTTTCTCCTAGTCTGGGATGGGGTCCAGGGCACCGGCGCCACTAACCGTTCTTCCTCTCTTCAGGGACCCATGAGGTGCCAAAGGCTGCGGACGCAGAGGAGGACTCTCCAGAGGAAGGTGGGACCTTACTTTCTTTCCTGGGTGTCCAGTGCAGAAACAGATTTGTTGCCCTCCTTCTTGTTTAGTTTCTCTCTACTTAACTGTATCTGAACATCCAAAGCTGGAGTGGAGGGAACTAAGGACATGAAATAGTATTTCTTAACACCTTCTGTGTGCCAGGTATGTGACACGCAGATACTGACATACAATCTGCTGGTTTAGTGATGGGGAAGCCCAGGCCCAGAGAAGTCATTAGCTTGTCCAGAGTCACAAAGCTAGAAGGTAGCTGAGTGAGGTTTTGGAGGGACTTCTGATTCACAGCCTGCCCCACTGACTCTCACCTGTGACTATGCAGAGCAGTGGAAGAGAACTCGCTGAGTTGTCTTAAAACGGCATTTGCTGTTTTGTTCTACGTTGTGAGTGTGCTGCAGACAGGTCCCACAGGGCCTAACTAATGCGTAGGAATCCACCTCAGCTCCCTTTTCAGAGCACTGGGTACCTGCTGTTTTTATTAACCTATTCGGTGACTGACTCTGATTCGCAGACCTCTCAACCAGATGTAGCCAAGGGATGCCAAAGAAAAGTGAAAAAAAGAGAGATGCTCCCAGACTGCAAGGAGCCCTTAGGATAGTCAGGGAGAGGAAGCTCCCAGGACAGATGAGTGAGTGCTGACTGGAAAAGCTACTGATGAGGGCCCATTCGTTTGAGCAAGGCAACAATATGACAATTTCAAAGTTCCCCAACAGACACACCCAGACAAGTGTTAATTGTGCCTTCAAAGAGCTCATCATGGGGTATTTTATTTTTTAATGTAATGTTTTTCTTTATTTCCGAGATGGTAATCTTTGGAAAAAAAAAAAAAAAGGAATGATATAAAAGGGTATGCAGTGAGAAGCAGGTCTCCCTTCTGCCCAGCTATCCAGTTTCCTCTCCAGAAGTTTCACTGTTAATGGTTTCTCATGTATCGTTTCATGCTACATGGGAGTATGTGCAAATATAAGCACATGTGTGTACCCGTTCTTCTCCCTTTTCCCAAATGGGAACACACTGTACACATTGTTGTGAGTTAGTTGTATTGTTAACAACTTACTTGGGAAATGGTTTCATACCCCTTTAAAGAGAACTGCTTCATTACTTTTTCAGGGCTTTGCAGTCTTTCCTTAGGTGGACGAACTAAAATTTATTTAACCAGTTAGTCCTCTATTGCCTCCCCCTACCCTCCCAGTGCATTTAACCTTGGGATATAGTTGTAAAAGTTAGAATTGCATATCACTTTTGAGGAAAGTATCTGTTGAGTGACACAAGGTCCTCAGGTAGGATGAATCACATCTTCAAACAGTGGTTGCAGGGTTCTAGAGAGGAGGAGGCTGAGATCGATGAGTCAGGGGATCCCATGGCTGTGCTCCTGCTGTTACAGTGGAGGTTTTACTTGCTTAGCAGACTGTTTGTCTACCTCTTCCCATCCCAGGCCAGCAGGCAACAGCATCACTTGGGAATTTGTTAGAAATGCAGAGTTGTAATTCTCAGACCCCATCCCAGACAAACTGAAGCAGAAACTCTGGGGGCAGGACCCAGCAGTCTGTTTTCACACATTCTCCAGGGCATTCTGATTCTTGCTCAAGTTTGAGAACCACCATGAGACCAGTGGCTGTCTACAACTGGCTAAACATTAAGAATCACCCAGGAAGCTTGAACTGTCTAGAGGACCATGCTACACCCCCACATTACCTAAAGCAGAACATGGAGTGGTTGGGCTCCAGGCATCAGTAGCATTTAAAGGTCCCCAGGTGATTCTAATGTGAAGACAAGGTTGAGGCTCATGTCCTGGTGCAAACTTGATTGAGCAGAACCACGCAGGGTCGGGGGTGAGTGGGTGGTAGGGGAGGGATTGTTATAACCCAGATTTCTGGGTTCCAGCTGTAGAATTTTTGATTCAGTAGGTTTGGAGTAGGAGCTGAGAATCTGCATCCCACAAGTTACAGGTAATGCTGATGCTTTGGCTCACAGTTAAGGACCATTGTCCTAGAATCATTGTTTCTCAGGCTTTGCTGTTTATTAGAATATCTAGATAATTCAAAATATAAATATCAAGTGTTGGGTCCACCTTGAGAAATTCTGATGGAATCAGCCTGGGGTGATTCCAACAGGCAGTCAGCGGTGAAATTCACCACCCTTGATTGTGAGTGAGGTCCTGGGGGATGAGAGATGAACTTCGCTGTCCTTAGCATCCAGCCTTAGCCAGATTACACTCATGCTACTTGTTCAGTTAATTTCTACTGAGTGAGTCAAAGGGCTTGGTCCCGCTCTTACCACAGAGGCCCCCATGTGGAACCTGAAGAACACTGTAGGATGCCTTCCCTGACTCATCTTGGGCTGCTCATTTGTAGCACTCACCACATTTAATTGTAATTGCTTATTTTGCTAGCCTCAGATCAGTATTTCTTAAAGTATGGTCTGTGGCTTACCTCCATAAGAATCATCTCAATATGTTAAAATGCAGATTCTAGGGCCCTCCCCCAGACTTATGGAATCAGACTCTTTGGAGGGTGAGGTGAGGGACTGTTATTTTATTTTAATTTTTTTTGAGATGGAGGCTTGCTTTGTCACCCAGGCTGGAGTGCAGTGGCGCGATCGCGGCTCACTGCAAGCTCTGCCTCCTGGGTTCACGCCATTCTTCTGCCTCAGCCTCCCGAGGAACTGGGACTACAGGTGCCCGCCACCTCGCCTGGCTTATTTTTTGTATTTTTTAATAGAGACGGGATTTCACTATGTTAGCCAGGATGGTCTTGATCTCCTAACCTCGTGATCTGCCCGCCTCGGCCTCCCAAAGTGCTGGAATTACAGGTGTGAGCCACCGCACCCGGCCGGGACTATTAATTTTTAACCCATGCCCAGGTGATTCTGACGTATGCTAAAGTTAGAGGGAGAATCCCTGGCCTAGAGAGTAAACTTGAGGGAGCAGCGATCTGTCTATCTTGTCCACCAGTTTATCACCTGGACCAGAATTGAGCCTGGCATGGAAATGAGATGAGGGTATCAGGTGGGGCTAGGATTAGGCTGGAACCCACAGCAGTGGGGCCTGGAATCTGAGATCAGAAGGGAGCCCAGAGAACAACTGTTTTAAGAGCTCAAGTGCAAGCTCCAAGTTCTGAGTTAACCTGTGGTAGGACTGACTGAGCCCAGGTCTTGGAGATCCAGACTGGCGGGGGATGAGAAATGTAAAGATGTGTGGAGAGTCCAAGGCAGTGGTACCCAGGAGCAGAAATATCCCAGCTTCTGACCCAAGGATGGACACTCAGGAGGGGTCAGTGGCCCTGGGCTCACAGGCTAGAGACCAGGATCCCTGGCAGTATGAGGGCTTGGCAGGTGCAGTGGGGCTCTAGGAACGGAGAACTCAGGTGCCCAGGCTGATCTGGGTGATTGTCTCATGCTACAGAGATGGACGACTCCCAGGATGAACAGCAGAAGGTGCTGGCAGCTCTGAGGCATAACCCCACCTTGCTGAAGCACTTCAGACCAATCCTGGAGGACACCCTGGAAGAGAAGCTCGAAAGCATGGGGATAAGGAAGGTGAGTTTCAGGGCCACCGTTTTAAGGACTGATACCTGTGATTTAGACACTAAGCACTCTCAAACAGACAAATGATCGATCGTTCTTTGCATTGTGAGCTCATTCATCTCAACTTGTGGCAGCCCGGGCTCCTTTGGCATCTGCATGCCTTTCTCACTTCACAGTGGCAGTGTGGTATCTTTCCTCTGTTTCTCCAGCAGCTTCTCAAGACTGGCCCTATTTGGCTGGTGATGCTACCCTGAGTCCTGACTGCTCAGTGTTCTCCACTCATTGGTTACTTCCCTCTGTGTCTCTAATTTTTTTGCTAGAGGGAATTTAATTGGCTCAATCTGGCCGATGGACAGGTCCCCCCTTGGGAAGGATCCATCTGCAAGCCCATCATCTGTGGTATATGTGGCTGTGTCCACTCAGCAGGTGGCTGTGTGTGGGCGTCATTGAAAGCTATGTCTGGCACCAATTGTTTGTGGGTTTGTTTTTGAGAAATAACAACATATTTTCCTGTAGATTTTTAGCAGTTACATATATGTATGTATATACATGTATGTATATTTTATTTTGAGATAAAATATCTGAAATTTAATTATTTTTTTATTTCAATGGGTTTTGGGGGTACAGGTGTTATTTGGTTACATGAATAAGTTCTTAGGTGGTGATTTCTGAGATTTTGTGCACCCATCACCTGAACAGTATACACTGTACCCAGTGTGTAGTCTTTTATCCCTCGCCACCCCCATGCTCTTTCCCCCAAATTCCAATGTACCAGTCTTATGCCTTTGCATCCTTATAGCTTAGCTCCCACATATGAGTGAAAACACATGATGTTTGATTTTCCATTCCTGAGTTACTTCACTTAGAATAATAGTCTCCAATTCCATCCAGGTTGCGGCAAATGCCATTATTTCGTTCCTTTTTAGGGCTGAGTAGTATTCCATGGTATGTATATATATCACAGTTTCTTTATCCACTCGTTGATTGTATATTTAGGCTGCTTCCACATTTTTGCAATTGCAAATTGTGCTGCCATAAACATGCATGTGCAAGTATCTTTTTCATGTAATGACTTCTTTTCCTCTGGGTAGATACACAGTAGTGGGATTGCTGGATCAAATGGTAGATCTACTTTTAGTTCTTTAAAGAATTTCCACACTGTTTTCCATAGTGGTTGTACTACTTTATATTCTCACCAACAGTGTAAAAGTGTTCCCTTTTCACCACATCCATGTCAACATCTACTAATTTTTGATATTTTGATTATGGCCATTCTTGTAGGAGTGAGGTGGTATCACATTGTGGTTTTGATTTGCATTTTCCTGGTAATTAGTGATGCTGACTATCCCCACTCTGGGAAGCTCCCTCCTCATTTAAGGACAGTCCGCAGTCCTTAGGACCTCCAGTGCTGCTGCCCAAGGCTTCTGGGCGCGTTCCTCAGCCACTCGTCCTGATCCATTGTCTCCTTGGGTTTGGATTATTCTTGTTTCTCCAGTTCCGTGAGGTGTGACCTTAGATTATGTATTTGTACTCTTTCAGACTTTTTTTTTTTTTTTTGAGACGGAATCTCGCTCTGTCACCAGGCTGGAGAGCAGTGGCGTGATCTCGGCTCACTGCAACCTCTGACTCCCTGGTTCAAGGTATTTTCCTGCCTTAGCCTCCTGAGTAGCTGGGATTACAGGCATGCGCCACCACGCCCAGCAAAATTTTTTTGTATTTTTAGTAGAGATGGGGTTTCACCATATTGGCCAGGGTGGTCTCAAACTCCTGATCCACCCACCTCGGCGTCCCAAAGTGCTGGGATTACAGGCGTGAGCCACTGCGCCTGACCACAGACTTTTTGATGTAAGCATTTAATGCTATGAACTTTCCTCTTAGCACTTCTCTTGCTGTATCCCAGAGGTTTTGATAGGTTGTGTCACTATTATCGTTCAGTCAAATAACTTTTAATTTTCCATCTTGATTTCATTGTTGACTCAACACCTGATTATTCAGGAACCAGTTATTTAATTTCCATGTATTTGCATGGTTTTGAAAGTTTCTTTTGGAGTTGATTTCCAATTTTATTCCACTGTGATCTGGAAGAGTACTTGATATAGTTTCAGTTTTCTTAAATTTACTGAGACTTGTTTTGTGGCCTATCATTTGGTCTGTCTTGGAGAATGTTCCATGTGCTGATGAATAGAATGTATATTCTATTCATGTTGGGTAGAATGTTCTATAATATCTGTTAAGTCTATTTGTTGTAGGTTATAGTTTAAGTCCATTGTTTCTTTATTGACTTTCTGTCTTGATGACCTGTCTAGTGCTGTCAGTGCAGTCTTAAAATCCCCCACTATCATTGTGTTGCTGTCAATCTAATTTCTTAGGTCTTGTAGTAATTGTATTGTAAATTTGGAAGCTCCAGTGTTACGTGCGTATATATTTAGAATTATGATATTTTCCTGTTGGACTAGTCCTTTTATTATTATGTAACGTCCCTGTTTGTCTTTTTTAACAGCTGTTGCTTTAAAGTTTGTTTCGTCTGCTATAAGAATAGCTACTCCTGCTCGCTTTCGGTATCCATTTGCATGGAATGTTTTTTTCCGCCCCTTTACCTTAAGTTATGTGAGTCCTAATGTGAGTTTAGGTGAGTCTTCTGAAGACAGCAGAAACTTGGTTGGTGAATTCGTATCCATTCTGCCATTCTGTATCTTTTAAGTGGAGTATTTAGGCCATTTACATTCAATGTTAGTATTGAGATGTGAGGTACTATTCTATTCACTGTGCTATTTGTTGCCTGAATACCTTGCCTTTTTTTTTTTTTTTTTTAATGTGTTATTGTTGTATAGGTCCTGTGAGACTTATGCTTTAAGGAGGTTCTCTTTTGGTATATTTCAAGGACTTGTTTCAAGATTTAGAGCTCCTTTTAGCAGTTCTTGTAGTGCTGGCTTGGTAGTGGCAGATTTTCTCAGCATTTGTTTGTCTGGAAAACACTATGTCTTTCTTTCATTTATGAAACTTAGTTTCACTGGATACAAAATTCTTGACTGATAATTGTTTTGTTTAAGGAGGCTGAAGAATAGGACCCCAATCCCTTCTAGCTTGTAGGGTTTCTGCTGAGAAATCTGCTGTTAGTCTGATAGGTTTTCCTTTATAGGTTACCTGGTGCTTTTGCCTCACAGCTCTTAGGATTCTTTCCTTCATCTTGACTTTAGATAACCTGTTGACTGTGTGCTTAGGTGATGATCTTTTTGTGATAAATTTCTCAAGTGTTCTTTGAGCTTCTTGTATTTGGATGCCTAGGTCTTTAGCAAGGCTGGGAAAGTTTTCCTCCATTATTCCCTCAAAGATGATTTCAATTTTCAAGCTTTTAGATTTCTCTTCTTCCTTGGGAATAACAATTATTCTTAGTTTTGGATGTTTAACACAGTCCCAAACTTCTTGGAGACTTTGTTCATTTTTTTAAAATTCTTTTTTGTCTTTGATGGATTGTGTTAATTCGACAGCCTTGTCTTTGAGCTCTGAAGTTCTTTCTTCTGCTTGTTTGATTCTATTGCTGAGACTTTTCAGTGTATTTTGCATTTCTCTAAGTGTGATTTTGCTTTCCAGAAGTTGTGATAGCTTTTTATATATGCTATCTATTTCACTAAAAAATTTTCCTTTCATATCTTGTATCATATTTTTGATTTCTTTAAGGTGGACTTCACCTTTCTTTGGTGCCTCCTTGATTAGCTTAATAATTGACCTTCTGAATTCTTTTTCTGGCAATTCAGAGATTCGTCTTGGTTTGGATCCATTGCTAGTGAGCTGGTATGATTTTTGGGGGAGTTAAAGAACCTTGTGTTGTCATGTTACCAGAATTGTTTTTCTGGTTCCTTCTCATTTGGGTAGACTCTGTTAGAGGGAAGATCTGGGATTCAAGGGCTGCTGTTCAGATTCTTTTGTCCCATGGGGTACTCCCTTGATGTGGTGTTCTCCCCTTTCCCCTAGGAATGGGGCTTCCTGAGAGCTGAACTCTAGCGATTGTTTTTGATCTTCTGGGTCTAGCCACCCAGTAGAGTTACAGGCTGGTACTGGGGAGTCTCTGCAAAGAGTCCTGTGATGTGATCCATTGCAGCCGTGGATACTATTCCAGCGCCTGCTCCGGTGGAGGTAGTAGAGGAGTGAAGTGGACTCTTGAGGGTCTTTCTTTTTTTCTTTTTTTGTTTAGTTTTTGTTTAGTGCACTGGTTTTGTGTTAGTTGGCCTCCAGCTAGGAGGTGGTGCTTTCAAGCTGTGGCCCTATAGGGAGGATGCATACTTGCCTACTTGCCCTAGGGACACCTGGTTAAGTATTCAGGTTTCTCAGGTGATGGGCATGGCCATATAACTCCTAAGAGATTATGACCTTTGTCTTCAGCTACCAGGGCGGGTAGAGGAAGACCACCAGGTGGGGCCAGGAATAGACACGTCTGAGCTCAGCCTCTCCTTGGGTGAGGCTTGCTGCAGCTGCTGTGGGGGATGGGGGTGTGGTTCCTAGTCCAGTGGAGTTATATTCCCAGGGGGATTATGGCTGCCTCTGCTGAGTCATACAGGTCGCCAGGGAAGTGGGGGAAAGCTGGCAGTCACAGGCCTCAGCCCGCTTCCACGCAGCCTGCAGTCCTAAAGTCCGGTCTCACTCACACTGTGCCCCACCAACAGGACTGAGTCTATTTCCAGGCAGCCCTAGATCATGAGCCTCCCCATTGAGAAAGCAAGCAGACTCACAGGTCTTTGGCATCTCAGGGAGTCTGCAGCAGTGATCCAGTTCCTTTAAAGGGTCTATGGATTCTCTCTCCAACTAGTATTTGAATGCCATTGTGCTTAACCAGGACATGTATGTTATTGTTAGAAGCACCAATGAAATCTATTATTAAATAAAAACACACTTGTTATTAAATTAACCAAGCACTACACTACTGGAAATACTATTTGTGTAGAGTAAGTTAGAAAAAAATAAAATAGACAAGTAGGGTTATTTTAGGAAGAATGCTCACTGCTTTGATCGTTTTCAACTACTGACTACTCTAACTTTGGCCCTATATTTAGACTTGATTGAGACGTTCCTTTCTAACCTTGCGTGAATCCTCATCTTGGATTCAGATGCCTCCCTAGACCCTCCCATGGGCTCTGGGTGGATGTCAAAAGCTTGAGCAACTTCCAGTAGGTCTTGAAAGGGTACCTGAATTGTGTTTATAGCAGTTTAGTTTTTTAAACATTGTTAGCCATGGACAGTGTGTTTGGCATAATCATGGTAATTGGGGGTACAAAAATGAGCAAGCTATGGTCTCTTATCCTAGGATTCAGTCAGATGTAGAAAAGCATGTTCCAGTGAAGTCCCTTATGCTAGGATGTGGTTAGAATTGTGATGTAGTCCTTTGCATTATCCTGCTGTGCACATTTTGATGGTGCTCTCAAACCCCAAACCACTGCACTTTCAGCAGCTTTGAAGCCGCTGCTTACCCTTCTCTGATCCTCATTTCATGCCCCCCACTCCTGCAAGAAAAACACCAGGCACTGATCACAGACTCCCAGGCCAGCAGCAGCAGGTAGCAGGTGTGAGAGGCTTAGGGGAAGGAAAAGAAGGGTAGCCTCTGTCTGTAAAGGTGAACTCCTATCTCCTCTAGGATGCAAAGGGAATCTCGATTCAGACTCTCAGACACCTGGAATCCCTGCTGAGAGTCCAGCGGGAGCAGAAGGCCCGGAAGTTTTCTGAATTTCTGAGTCTGAGGGGAAAGCTTGCCAAGGAAGTCACCAGCAGAGTGAAGGAGAGACAGGAGAATGGCGCTGTGGTGTCCCAGCCAGATGGGCAGCCTTCAGGTACACTGGGGAGAGGGCTCGCTCAGGGCTGTGACCTGGAAGGGTCCCATTCTTGCCAAGACTTGTTTGCACATGAGGCGGGTATAGTCTTTGTCCCCCATTAGGGGCACTTCTCTGAAGGGCTGAGCTGGTAGGGTTCTCACAGGTGACTGAGTCCAGAAGTTCTCTGTTGAGGAAATAGGATCTGGGGTGGGAGTGGGGGCATTTGTCCAGGGTCACTCCGGGAAGTTGGAGGAGAGCCGGAGCTGGAGCCTGTTGTCAGCCTGAACTGTCCCTGTGCAGACATGCTGCCTCCCTTAGCACCTTCTTTCTGCACTGCTTGGCTTGCTGCGACCACAGTTGAGTGTCTCTTCAACAGAGAGCAGCCTATTCAGTTTCTGGCTCTACACACCAGGTGTGCCAGCCTGGGGAGGCAGGCAGAGGCCTGGGAACATTGGAGCTGCAGGTGGAGGCAAATATCAATCAAATGTAAACTTCCACAGAGCTCAGATAGCCCCTGCTCTGGCCATGGGAGGGCATGAGAGGCTGGGCCAGTTCTGCACACGGATGAATTCTCAGAGCTCAGAGTTGGTTCTTTGGGCCAGGTCATAGCTGCTACTTTACCATTTGTCCATGCTCTGGGGGTCATGACAAAAGAAGGCCCTGTGGTTCTGGTGGAACACTAAATTCTGTGGACCAGGACCCTTGAGTCTGTTCTTATGGAGCAAGGGTATTTGTGTTCCCAGGTTTGAGAGCCCCCTGTTTCTAGAAGGTTCCCAGAGGCCCTGGGCTGCTGTGATTGGAGGCTCTGGGGAGGGCTTCAGTGGATCTGGTCTGCTTATGTAGGGTGCTGTCCTGCTCCTTTTACTTTGTCTCCTCAGTCAGGGACACATGTGGCCAGAAGGAGGCTAGTTCTGTATCTCCTGTGTCCAGGAAGAACCAACCTGAGCTCTTCATGCAAAAAAATTTTTGCAGAGTATGGCCCAGGTATCTCTGAAGATATGAGAGATGATTTTAGTTGCTACATCTACCAATCATTTTATAACTTATTTTTATTTTTCCTCATGTGAATTAGGAGAAAATAACACTAACATAGCAATCCTGTGAGCTCATGGAAATTATTACTTGGACAAGTACAAAGCAGGTATTTTGTGTTTAAAAGCATTGTCATTTTGGCATGAAAATATGGTAAAAAATGAGTTGACCTGGGAAACTATAATATTTAGTTTAAACTTCTGGTCTTAAAATCTCTAAGGAAAGGATGGTTTTTAGTCTTGCACAGAAATCTCAGACAGAAGGGTATTCGTCCTGGTTGCCAATCTGCTTTTCATGCTCCAATTTAAATGTACATCCTTTTGCTCATTCAGTCAAATGGTCATTCATTCATTTGCCCACTCTTTCATTTAGTTCAGTACTTGCTGAAGTTGACTCTGTGCCAGGGCCTGCCACCTCACCTGGGAAACCAGCCAGGACCAGGTGACATGATGGAGCCAAGCACAGGGGTGGTAGGAGCTCAGAGGAGGGAGGGGACAGGGACTTGGGGAGGATTAATGGAAAAACCCTCAGAATGCTGGCTTCCAGGAGACAGCAAAGGTATCTTGCTCCTTCTAGGTACTACGCCCCACCCACTCCCACACACTTTTGTTCCTGTAGTGAAAAAGCCAGGAGGGAGAGCCCCCTTCACTGCCTTTCCCTTTCCCTGGCCCGAGAGTCTGCCTTCTCTGGAGATGTTACTGAGGTGTGAGATGAGCGCTGTGTTTTTGTGGCATTTTGTAGACCTTTCCTTCGCACCTTTATTCTTTTCCTGGGTCCTGCAAGTGCTGTCTTAATGCTCACCTCCCATTTCTGCTCGGACCCTGCCTCTTCTCTTGTCTGGGGCAAGGCTGTGGGAGGTAGCAGTGAGGGCCCAAGATTGAGGCAGACAGACAGCCTGGGTTTGTATTCACCACTTTCTTCCGTGGAGCTGAGGGCAAGCCTCTGTAGGGAAAAGGATAGCCTCTGAAGATGCTCGGGGGCCACGTGGTTGTACGTAAAGTGCTTTTCTTGGTATCTGGTGCACAGTCGTGGGAAACTATTGTTATTTTCCCCCAGCAAGCTTGTCTTTGTCTTCCCCTTCTCTTCAGTTCACTCTTTCCTGAAAACTCCACTTCTGAGTAGACACATTGACTGAGAGCAGTGCACAGCTGGCCCTTGAACAACGCAGGGGTCAGGGGTGCCACCCCCCCATGCAGTTGAAAATTTGCGTGTAACTTTTGACTGCCCCAAAACTTAACTACTCATAGCCTGCTGTTGACCAGAAGTCTTACCGACAACACAGACTGTTAACACATATTTTGCATGTTATATGAATTATATGCTGTATTATTACAATAAAGTAAGCTCGAGAAAAGAACGTGTTATTAAGAAAACCACAACGAAGAGCAAATATGTTTACTATTCGTTAAGGGGAAGTGGATCATCATAAAGGACTTCATCCTTGTCATCTTCGTGTTGAGTAGGCTAAGGAGGAGGAGGAAGAGGAGGGGTTGCTCTTGCTGTCTCATGTGGCAGAGTCAGTAGAAAATCCATGTACAAGTGAACCCGTGGCTGTTCAAACCCACATTTTTCAAAGGTCAACTGTATTTCAAACATTTTTTGATCTTGAATTACTGTAAGAAACTCATTTTACATTGTGACTCAATCCACACATGTCTGACTCCCTGTGATGCGCGCTCTCTCTTCTCTTTCCATAAAAACTTGCTGATTCGGGACCCCTCTTCTCAGCTATAGGTCTTGATGTGATTTGGAAAACAGAGGGGCTGTGTCCAATTGCCTGCCTTGGTAGTGCCTTGCCCCAGGTTGCATGTGGGAGGAGGTTTGAGTGGATCTTGATGGTTCATGCAGTCCTGCGGCGACCTCTGGTGGCAGCATGGTCTTCCTGCAGGGCTGCCTGCACTGCCGCAGCTGTAGTGTGGGTGGGGGAGAGGGTAGCGGTCTTGGTGAAGTCCATCTAGGACTGCTGAGTCCCTCTTCAGGCCCGCGGACTCCTGCTGGTCTTCTATAATGACAGCATGACCCTGGAGCACCCAGCTGCTCTCCTGGTCTCTGAGGAAACTGTGGAACTGTGGTCCCAGCCTCGAATCTGGCCAGCAGCAGAACACCTGATTTGGCAGCAATCGTGAAATCTGCTGTGGTTATTACAGCACAGAGAGGGAGTGATTGTCCGTTTCCAGGGTGTTGGAGCCGCTTTCTCCCTCCTCTTAGGCTTGAGACCCAGCATGGGTGTACTCCAAAAGTCATTCCTTTCTGTGTTTCCAGTCAAAAGCCAGCAGAGCACACTGGTCACCAGAGAGGCCCAGCCAAAGACCAGGACCCTGCAGGGGGCCTTGCCATCCACGCCGGCAGAGCCGCCCCCACCAACTCGTCAGAGCCATGGCAGCCATGGCTCCGGCCTGACCCAGGTGTCCACCCCGGCTCCACGCCCCAGAGTGCATGGACCCTCCAGCACCCCTCCTTCCTCGGGGCCTGGGATGAGGTGAGCCCCAGACTCTGCCCTCTCGCCCCACCTGCAGTGGCGGCTCCTGGCTTCAGGCAGCCCTGTTCTGGGCTCCCTCCGGGCTTCTGCAGATAGGTGGGGGGCAGATACATGTGAATAGAAGGTGCCTCAGGTGGGGTCCAGTCTGGGCTCTGGGCTTAAGAACCTGTGCTCCTAGCCAAGACAAACCCACCCTCCCCTTACCCATCTCCTCCCCCAAGCCCGCTCCCACTCTGGAGGGGCAGATCCTCAGACAGGCAGGGCTCTACTAAGGGAGAAGCTGGTGTGGCTGCTGCACTCCACGGGTCTCCTAGCTATCTTCTGGGCCTGAGGGAGGGAGCAGGGCTGCCCTGAGCAAACCAAGCCAGCTTGCAGCATGGTGAAGTTTGGCTTTCAAAGTTTTCTTTCTGGCCCATGCATCCCTCATTTCTTCTCCTCATGGTAGCACGCCCCCGTTCAGCTCTGAAGAGGACTCAGAGGGAGACCGTGTGCAGCGTGTGTCTCTACAGCCTCCGAAAGTTCCTTCAAGGATGGTGCCTCGGCCCGAGGATGACTGGGACTGGTCTGACACAGAGACCTCAGAGAATGCCCAGCCCCCTGGCCAGGGCTCAGGTGAGCTGGCACCTTCGGGTGAGTGGGCTGGGACCACGGGTGAAACCCTTCTCCGGCCCAGATTTCTCGAGGCTCCAGAAACACCCTTCAGCTTCCTTTAGGCTTTCTGATTTGACATCTCTTTCTCTATTTGGCTTGGAGAGGATGGTCCTCCTTCGCCTCAAAGTTTTTTTTTTTTTTTCTGGGATAGCAGAGATATCAGGAGAAAGCTAGAGTTTGAGCAAGGTTTATTTTACCCCTTGTTTTGTCATTAAATTGTTGACTGTGGGAGGTCAAAGGGAGCCACTCATCTCTTTTCTCCTCCATGTTCTTTCCAGTAGAGAATAAACACAGTGGCCAGCCACAGGTGATCAAAGCCTCGCTCTAATAGTGGTGACAGGGCCCAGGAATGCCTGAGGCATTGGCTTTCTGTTAGGGCTGGATTAGAGGAACAACCAGCACTTGAGGCCAAAGTGGGGGCCCCTCCAGCCTCCCCGAATCCAGATCCTGATCTTACTTGTGCGCAGGGCTGGGTCTGCAAAGCAGACCCTGAATGTGCAAGACCTTAAACAGGCAGCTGTAGGGTGCACTCCAGCCTGGCTCAAACCCAGCCACACGGGCGGGGAGGCTCCGAGAGAAAGAGCTGGCACTGTTTTCTGGATCAGCGGCCCTCCTTCAGGTGCGCCGTGGCCCAGGGTGTGTTGCAGGCCCACCCCTCTGCTTGGCTTCTTCTGTGAGGAGAGGGTAGGATGTGGGGAAGAAACTGGGAGGGTGTTTCTCCTATCCTTGTCTATCCTGGTGAGGAGAGCAGAAGTTCCCTCCTTCTGTGCAAGCTCGAGGCGTGAGAGAGAAGGCTCTCCCCTCTGTGCTGGTGTTTCTGGGTGCTCACCGAGTGCTCAGCTCTGTGTGGATCTCTTCGCACAAGTCTCCTCGTTTACTCCTCACAGCACTGATGAGGGAAGGCTGAGCCACACACGTCGTGACAGAAGTTGAAACTAAGCCTCATAGACATTATGACTGGCCCAAGACCTCAGAACGATGTCATGGCAAGTTGAGATTCTGTATGATGTTTTTGAAGTTAATGTGTTAGAGTCACGTTTATTTATTTAATTGTAAACTAATTTTTTTTTCCCCAGAAAGAGCTGCCTTTAGCTGTGTTCCAAATGTTAAGAATATCCCCATAGTCTTTTATGCTGTTTGAGTTCATTAGCACCGATCAAGAGTTGATGGTCCTAGAGTTAAATACCACAGTGGTCAAAGTAGCCTCCAGGGCAAACCTCAGTTACAACTTGAAGGGAAAACAGTTTCCTGCCATGAACATTTTGACAAATATAGTTTTCTATAACACATAGACTGTAACAAGCATCACTTTTTGCAACAACTCAATTGTGAAAAATGTGGCTTCCCAGCAAAGCTTGAGACAGAGGAGGCAGCCACAGACAGTCAGTCAACCTTTATAGCAGGCTGCCTTTGGGCCACGCACCCTGTTTCATCATATGGGGAAGCTCTTTGCCCTTTTCAGCCAAGAGGCTTAGAAATTCAACGTGTTGATGAAAAGGGCATTGTAGAGACCTGAGCTAACTGTCATGGTAACTGGAATGAAAATATTCATTCAATGTATTATTTTCTGTCTAATAGGTTGCAATGACTAGTTGAGCATCCTTCTTTTCAAAACAACTGTCTACTCCCATTCTTTCAAGATTTTCCTATCAAACTGCCAACTGAGGCCTGCAGCTTCTGGCTTCAGTTGTATTTTCTAGCCAAGAGTGAGTTAAAGAATAAAGAATATGGAATTTAGAGTTTTGTCTTGCCAAGGTCAGTAAGTAGAAACTCTGGGATGTCAGGCTAGGCTTGCAGTCTGCAAAGTTCTTGCTCCTAATAGACTCTGCAGCACTTGGCCATGTTTACAGCATAAGCCAAGCCTGCCAGTCCGTCAGAATTCACCAGAAACAGATCTCTGGAGAAGTATTGATGCCCTGCCAGGCAAGGGCAATAGGGTGGCAAGGTCTTGGGACTGGGAGTTAGGAATCTTCAGAGGAAGTCCTGGCTCTGCCACTTGCTACCTGCTTGTCCTTGTGCAGGTGGTTTCTGCTCCTTTGTTGTAAAGTGAGGTATTTGGACAAGGTGATTAATGAGAGGGTGAGGAAACAGTGCCTGCTACATCATAGGCCTTTAACAAACATTTCTTGAATGAATCAGTGAGCCAAGGGCTGTTGTAGCTCCAAAAGTCAGCTCAGACCTTGATTTCGTTTGAATCGTAGAAGACTGTGGTTAACTTCCTGCTTCATGGTCATTCCTGAGGTTCATACATCACCTTGGTGTGCCAGGCACCAGGGATCTATTGATGATCTCTGTCACTGCTTAGCTCCTGCTTCCTGCATGGACTTCGCAGAAAGTCATTCTTGCCTGCAGTCCTCCTATACTAATCTTTATGATATTTCTTCTTGTCTCTGTGTGAAGATGTTGAGAACTAAGTGCATGCTAGTGATACAGCTCATTCCCCACACTGAGCAGAGGTCCTGCCTCAGCCTCTCATTAGAGGGAAGCACAGCTTCCTAAGTCTCTGTCACTAGCCATGTCATTAAGTTTGCACAGTCACATTTTCAGAATATGCCAAGCCTCTGTTCACTGGGCACCCATTGGCCTGGCCTTTTCTGTCTCCTTTTTTGTGGTTGCCCAGCCTTCTTCCTCCTGACCGTTCTGCTCATTCCCTCTATCCCCACTGGAGCCTGGACACATGACCCATAAAACTGAAGTGCTCATTTTCTAGGCTTCTGCCACTGACACAGCCGCTTTTTCCCCTTCCAGGAACACTGGTGCAGTCGATGGTCAAAAATCTGGAGAAGCAGCTAGAAGCTCCGGCAAAGAAGCCTGCTGGAGGGGTCAGTCTGTTTTTTATGCCCAATGCTGGGCCACAGAGGGCTGCCACACCAGGAAGGAAGCCTCAGGTAGGATGTAGGATGCTTAGAGTTCACCCTGCAATTCCCTACAGAACCAGTTCTGAGTTTGGGGGGCCTGGGGTAAAGGTTGGGGAGGGTCCAGCAAGTGTCATCCTTTGCCCTAGTGGGACATCGCAGGTGACCTCCCTTTGCCCTGTGCACATGGAGAGATGGCCAGTTTGGAATACTTGTGTCCAAGTTAACATTAAAAAGCCTTTTGGTTCATTATACAAGCAATGCTCAGTAAGTTTGGATTCTTCCATCTCCTGCCTCTCAGAGAGCCTCGGAGCTGACTCTGTGCCTGGCTTCCTGCAGCAACTGCTCTTCCAGTCCGGTCTCATCCTATAGTGGGCTCCTTCCCAGTCCCTCTGCCACGGACCCTAAGACAATATGTGTGTGGAGCGGACTCCCCCAAGGGTGGTACTGGAGTGGCCTCGCATAGCACATCAGAGTCAGTAACAGCACAAGATGGGAATATTTAGATACCTCTGTTTTAGAAACCTGAGCCTTGCCTCAGACTGTAGCCACCATCAGATTTTCAGACTTAGAGCTCAGACGTTGAGCTTCCCTGGCATCACCAGACCTTCCTCACTGCCCCTGTCTCCTCCGTCAGGGAACAACTTGCACACTGCTGCGATTTTTCAAGCAGAAAACTTCAGAGCTCCCTTTACTTCACACTCCTTTCTCACCTTTCTCAATCAAAAAGGTACATCCTGGGGTAATCAGTGCTATTGCTCTAAAATTTGGTAGTGGTGGGCAACCATTCTTTGGGTTTTGATAGCACTCCCCGCTCTTTACCACGGTGTGTTTGGTTTATCACACGGCTCATGTATGTTTGTGAGTAATGCATCCAAATGATTGAGAAGAAAAAACTTGTTCCTTTTTCCAAATTGTGAAAGAGCACCAACAGCCCCAAACAGATTGAGGCGCTGCTCAGAGCATGCTTGCTGTCCTGCACCCTGCATGCGTTCTGATTGGTCGCCTTACATTCCTGGAGAAAATGCGTAGGATGGCTTGTGTTAAAGCACAGGTGGCCAGCAGGGGCACTGAGGACTCCAGAGGGGAAGGCCTGGGCTGCTACGCAGGTGGCTGTGGTCAGGGGGTAGCCTGGTCCCTTGGCCGACTCTGAGCTGTCCTGCTGGCTGCAGCGCAGACCCTTCCGGGCTGAAGGACTCCCAAGCTCCTCTCATGCTCCTTCAGTCAGGATGTTTACCAGGCCTGAGGGAACCCGTCTGAGAGGAGGTGGGTCATTAGCCCACAGTGCATTATTCAGCTCAAGAACTTGGAACGGTGGAGTTTCTGGGCTTCTGGCTCTGTCAAAGAGGGAGTTAAAAATCTGCACAAAGTTGAAGTGAAAATGAGAGCAACCTGCTCCGCACATAGGCCTTTCCAAGGCGCTTGCCTGGGTTTGGTTAGTAGAATTTCAGGGATATTTGAAATCACCGTGATCTCAGGTCACTAAAACAGGTTCTCAAAGGCAGGAAGACTTGAGAAGGCAGGAAGAGTAGTGTCTCCCTATGGCTTTCTTCCCGGTGTGCATTTGTCCCCATTTCCGTTCTGCATTCCCATCCTGCAACGTGCTTAGCTCTCAGCCACCCTCCTCCCTTACCAAAATGTATTTTCTTCTCCCCTTCACCCCTTGCAGCTTTCTGAAGATGAGAGTGACTTGGAAATCTCCTCCTTGGAAGATCTTCCTCTGGACCTGGACCAGAGAGAGAAACCCAAGCCCTTGTCTCGCTCAAAGCTCCCAGAGAAGTTTGGCACTGGTCCACAGAGCTCCAGCCAGCCCAGGGTCCCTGCCTGGTGATTCACCCCAGAGGCTGACTGGCCAGAGGGTTAGCCTAGCTGGGGCCAGCTCAGGTCCACTCCAACAGAAGAGGCTGCTGGGCCTCTTGTCTTCACAAACAACCAAGAGATCATCCTCTTGGAGAGAAGCAGTGCAGGGAACGGATATGATCTCATCCCTCCTGACCTGTGAGGGGCCCTGCTGTAGAGCACCACAGGTGCCTGATTAGGAGCCCCTGGTCCCAAGGCTTGAGAAAGGGTTAAAACAGAACCTCCAGGTAGTTTTCTTCCTCTACCTCCATGTCCCCCCGAGACTGAAAAGAATCACTAGCTCTCTTTTCCCAAGCCTTTTATAAAACTGCAGGAACACTGTGGAGCTGGGTCCTATCTGGGGTCCTTTTGGGGACATATGCCTCAGTCAGTCATTCTGTGATTGATCCAAAATTATTTACTGAGTGCCTGCCTACTCTGCGTCAGGCTCTCTAGCCTCTCACTACTGAGTTAGGGTGCAGGCGGAGGCTGGGGCAGAATGTCTGCAGCCAGTGCCAGCACAGGGTAGTAATCTAGTGGCAGAGAACAGGGTGTTACGGGGAGCATATGAAAGGCCATCCAGCCCAGCCTGGGTGATCCTGGAGAGTTTCCTAGGGTTGTGATATGTGGCAGGCCTACTCATGGATGGGAAGAGAGGAGGGCCACTTGGCTGGACCTTGTATCCCTAAGGGACCACACGTGTATTTTTTGATATTATTTCCAAAATCAGGTTTTATACATAGCTGTTGTATATTTGTAGTGTGAAAAACGTTAATATATGCAAACATTTAAATATAGTATGATGTTTTTAACTCTGGTATGTATTTCATTATTTTTGGAGCTTTCAAGGGGTTGGGAGGGAAGGAAGCAACTGCATCTTAATTGTGTCAGTTTAGGTCTTTTGGGACACGGTTGCCAAGATGGAGTCATTGAGGAGCCGCACTTGGGAAAGAAAAGGAGGTAGAGGCAGGATCCAGTGGGGAAAGGCCGCAGAGTGCAATGTACGCCTGACCACTGTGAACAGAAAGAGAGAAGGAAGCTGGAGGAGCCAGGAGAACTCAGGGCATCGATGTGGGGTTGACAAGGTCTCCACTGACCCAGTGGGGAGCTCCTGAGCAAGAACCGCCCACTTGGGAGTCCCCTTTGTTCAGAAACGTCCAGGCCCTCATGCCTGCCCCGCACTTGGCCATTGGCTGGGGTGGCCTGGACTGAATGAGACCTCGACTTGAAAGCTGGAGTGAACCTTGGTGTGAACCTGTCAGTCAATTTCATTTCTCCTGGTTGAATGGCAAATTTTTTTTTTTTTTTCCTGAAAGGGAGACCCAGCAAAGAACCTCCATCCCTGACACAGCAAAGATCTATTTTTAACTTTTTGCTATGGAAAGTTTCAAACACATATATGAGTAAAGGGAAGAGTGTAATGAACCCATGTGCTCATCACTGGGCTTCAAATATTATCAACTCAACTTAAGGTCAATCTTGTTTCGTCTATTACCACCTCCACCTCACCCAGACTTCCTTTGGCCTTTGGGTGATCCTGACACCTGGTGAGGACTTGAAGTTCTCATAGGAAGGTGATGGAGGAAACGCACTGCGGGAAGCAAAAGGGGTGTGGTGGTGGGGTAGGGCGGCTGGGGGAGGGGCAGGCTGAGGTGTTGTGGTACAAAGGAAGCTGCTCAGTGAGGAAGCTCAGGAGAGCTGCAGAGCTCATGCTTCCAGATCAGCCCACAATCTTGGTGCGATGGGAGTTGATGAGTAATTGCCTGATGAGTAAAAGCCTGGAGCAATTACTCCGGGCTTCCTGTGCTTCTGTGGGGTACCTCTGAGTTTCATTCTGCACGGTTTCTCAGAGTCCCTTGTGGGACTGAGTGCTAGTTCTCACTAATATGCAGTTACTATTATTAATGCATAGTTCATCGGCCTTCCTCTTTTCTGTTTCATTTTTCTCACTCCCTCGCTTCTTTCTCTTATGAGCACCTCTGAGATAAATTAATCTGCACCCAAGTCCTTGTTTCTAGCTCCACTTTCAGGGGAATGCAAATGCAAACAGTAAATGTGTTTGTACGTGTGTGCACACACTGGTGATGATTATCAATGAGAATGTCTCTGTTCTTGAATGTTCATCATTACGTTATATGTTTCCAAATGGATTTTTCTATCTACTTTGGAGGGTTTGACTAACATATTACTTTGGTGTTTCTATGCTGTGTTCACCCCTCCCCGTTTTCAAATATATTTTAAAATTCTTTAGTAAGTTGTATTAGGTCTCAATAGAAACAGAACCAGTAGGATGTATAGCTAGATAGATACTTATGGGTATTTATTAGCCAGTGTCCCTAATAAATGACAGGGGATCTATTAAGGGAATTAGCTCATGCGACTACGGAGGCTGAGAAGTCACAGCATAGGCTGTCTGCAAACTGCAGAATGAGGGAAGCTGGTAGAGTGTCTGTGTCTAAATCCAAAAGCCGGAGAACCTGGGACTGTTGGTGCAGGTCCTTGGGTGCAAAGGCCAGAGAACCTGGAGTTCTGACATCCAAGGACAGAAGCTGGGTGTCCCGACTCCAGAGAGAGAGCTTTTCTATCCAGGCCTGCAGCAGACTGGATGGTCCCCCCACAATGGGTGAGGGCAGATTTTCCTCACTCAGTTTACTGATTCAAATGCTAATCTCTTCTGGAAGCACCTTCTCAGACCTACTCGGAAATAATGCTTTACAGCTGTCCAGGTACCTCTTAATCTCATCAAATTGAACCTAAAATCAACCAGCACAAGATTTGCCAGAACTATGGAACATATGTAACAGATCATTTAAAAATTATACAAATGATAAGATTGATACAGAAAAATTAGAAAATACAGATAATCAAAAAGAATACAACCCACAAATTAGTCAATTGTTAACATCTAGATATACATGCGCTGATTAAAAAAAACCTCCTTCCTAGGGTTCAACTATATTCTTCTCTAGCTTCATTTTCCTCCTGGAAAACAGATTACAAATGTCTTTATGTCAGTACACATGTACATGTCAGTACATATAAATATA